CCCCCCCACCCTTTCAGGGGAAACTTCAGCCAGCCGAAGTAAAAAATTCATTAAAAAGGGAGCAAAGGGAAGAAAAAAAAGTAAAAAAAAAAATAAGAAAAAAACGAAGGAAAAAAAGAAAGAAATGAAAGAAAAAAGAGAAAAAGAAAAAAAGGGAGGAAGGGGAAGAGAAACTATATCTTAAGAAAAAGAACACTTTATTAACTCTAGAGTCTGGGGAAGACTATAAGACAAGAACAAAAACAAGAACAGGAAGAAGCAGACAATATACAAGAACAAGAATATCCACATTAATTAAGTATCAGACAAGAACAAGAACAAACAGACAACATACAAGAACAAGAATATTAACATTAATTATCAGACAAGAACAAAAACAAGCAGACAACATACAAGAACAAGTATATTTACATTAATTAAATATAAGACAAGAACAAGAACAAACAGACAACTAACAAGAGCAAGTATATTTACATTAATTAAATATAAGACAAGAACAAGAACAAGCAGTCAACTAACAAGAGCAAGTATATTTAAATCAATTAATCATCAGACAAGAACAAGAACAAAAATAGGCAGACAATTTACAAAAACGACAAGAAGAGGACTTAAATCAATTAAGTATCAGACAAGAACAAGCAGCTAGACAAGAAGAAAAAAAATTACCTTAATCTTTTCAGACTCTTGATCCGGGACAACATGAATTCTAGAAATTAATTCCTCTGCTCGTGTTCTCTCACTAGTTCCACCTGGAACAGTCAAACATTCAAACATTCTACGATTTAAACATTAGAACATTTAAACATTCAAACATTCAATAAAAAACATTCAAACAAAAATTTTAACATCTAACATTTAAAATTTTTTTAATTATAAATTTTAAAAAACATTCAAACATTCAAACATTCAAATATTTAAAGATTTAAACATTTAAACATTTAAACATTAAAATATTAAAACATTCAAACATTTAAACATTAAAACATTTAAGATGTTCAAACGTTTAAACATTTAACCAACATTCAACAAACATTCGGACACCCAAACATTTTAACATTTAAACATTTTTTGGGGGCATCTCATTCTTTTATCAAATCATTTAAAAAATTTAATTATGAATATAAATAACCCAAAAACAAATTGAATTGAAATTGAATAACAATAAAAATGAATAAAAATCAAATATCTCAGGAGTGGGGGGGGGGGGGTGAATTCATATTTATGTGTTTGCAATAACATGTTTTTTTATCTAAATGTGGGTAATTCGAGATGAAGTAGAAGCCGTTAGAAATTCGTCCTTTGATCGATATCCAAGGTAACTCAGAATAAAAAACAATATGTAAAAAAAACTTAACTTAAATTTTATTTTGTAATTTCTTGAATTTTAATCCGGCAAAATCGTTATCCCGACTTTGTAAAATGAATGGTTTTTCCTCATTATAAATTCATTTTAATACAATAATTCACCAAGTTTTTACATTAATGTCAAGTTAGATATTGCAAGTACGCGTCCAAACTATCATTAAGGGGAAACTAAGAAAAAAAGAAATAGGCGAAATTTTCGCAAGTTGAAAAAGGTTGAAAAATTTACTAATGAAAGCGAAAATTTTTTTTTTAGAAATACATCGATATGGGTACCACTGGGATCCGTCTTGAAACACTGAATTTAAAATTCTGAAATCAGAGAAATCCGTTGATAAATGAGCATATGAGAGGGAAATCCGTTGATAAATGAGCATATGAGAGGGAAATCCGTTGATAAATGAGCATATGAGAGGGAAATCCGTTGATAAATGAGCATATGAGAGGGAAATCCGTTGATAAATGAGCATATGAGAGGGAAATCCGTTGATAAATGAGCATATGAGAGGGAAATCCGTTGATAAATGAGCATATGAGAGGGAAATCCGTTGATAAATGAGCATATGAGAGGGAAATCCGTTGATAAATGAGCATATGAGAGGGAAATCCGTTGATAAATGAGCATATGAGAGGGAAATCCGTTGATAAATGAGCATATGAGAGGGAAATCCGTTGATAAATGAGCATATGAGAGGGAAATCCGTTGATAAATGAGCATATGAGAGGGAAATCCGTTGATAAATGAGCATATGAGAGGGAAATCCGTTGATAAATGAGCATATGAGAGGGAAATCCGTTGATAAATGAGCATATGAGAGGGAAATCCGTTGATAAATGAGCATATGAGAGGGAAATCCGTTGATAAATGAGCATATGAGAGGGAAATCCGTTGATAAATGAGCATATGAGAGGGAAATCCGTTGATAAATGAGCATATGAGAGGGAAATCCGTTGATAAATGAGCATATGAGAGGGAAATCCGTTGATAAATGAGCATATGAGAGGGNTGATTTAATATTGTGTTATTGTATCCCCCCCACCCCAACCATTCCTTGATTTAGTAGTGTTATTATATTTAAGAATCGGTGATTTTTAAAGAAAAATGTCTTAAAGGAAAAATTTAAGCTCTCATTTCTTATAGTTTTTCAGATCAACGTCTTACCTTCAAAGCACGGGTATATTATTTCGTAAATAATGTATGTCAATGTTAAATGAGCAAGACTTTCAAGTTAAAGTAATTAAATTTTTCATTACCCTTCTTCTCCAAAATTAATCAAAAAGGTTGTAAAATAATCCCCCCTTACAAATAAAAAGTTTAAATTAGCATACAGAATTTAAAGACATTTTACCATATTTCTGAAATTATCCCCCAATTACAACTGTTTACTAATATTGATATATTATAGGTTAGGCCAGAATCAATTTATATTAAACAAATATGCAGTACGCTCTCGGTTTAGTTTATGGCTTATACAATTAGTAAAGGATTAGCATACATCATCACTCTATACAGTATACACTATAACCACGTTGCCTTAATCCGAATCATCTTTAAAAGAGATAACACAATATTTATTCAACGGCTTTATTGTGAATCAGACATGACCCAGTCTAAATGATGGTCCCTTAACATGACAAACCTAAAGTGTTGATAATTGTTTGGAAATCCTTGAGAGCTGATTCACAACAGACTAGAGTATGATCACAGAAAACCTTAATAAATGTACAGTGTACTTCTAATAGGGATGTACATTGTACATGTAGTTGTAATATCGATGTACATGTATCTGTAGTTGTAAAATCAATGTACATGTATCTGTAGTTGTAATATCAATGTACATGTATCTGTAGTTGTAATATCAATGTACATGTATCTGTAGTTGTAATATCAATGTACATATAACTGTAGTTGTATTATCTATGTACATGTAAGTGTAGTTATAATATCAATGTATATAGAACTGTAGTTATAATATCAATGTTCAGGTAACTGTAGTTATAATATCAATGTATATGTAACTGTAGTTGTAATATCAATGTACATGTAACTGTGGATGTATTATCTATGAACATGAAACTGTAGTTATAATATCAATGTATATGTAACTGTAGTTGTAATATCAATGTACACGTAACTGTAGTTGTAATATTACTTGTGACTGTACTTGTAATATTATTGTTCATGTAACTATAGTTGTAAGTCGCTGACATGATTGTTAAGAAAATGTTGATGTTTAATCTTACTTAAAGTATACATCAGACTGAAGTTTCGTACAATTTGAGTTTTTAACTTTTTTTTCCAATTTGCCAATAGTAAACTATAATCTACTTCTAATATAAATACATAATTCCAAAATGTCTTTTAGTTTTTTTATCAGACCGCTTGGACTTTAATAATTAAGTCTTACTTTATCAAGAAATGGTTTAACAGGTCGAATTCTCTCCCACTCAGCTTGCTGGGCAAGTATTGGCTCCTAAATTGTGTTTTAAAGAGAGTGTTCGCGAAAAATGAAAGGGGGTATATGCTTAGTGCGATAAAAAAGCGCTTTTGATCGCTACTAATCTTACTTCTATCTGTTGCGTATATAAGGAGAAAATTGTTAAAGACGTCTCATACCGAATAACTTTTTAACTAATAACTATTTTTAAATTAATTTGTTTTTTTTCTCTTTTCTCTTGCGCAACTATCTAAGAATGCCGCACAACACTCACAATTTTCGAAATCCGTTGAAAACGTTTTCTAAAAAAAATAAAATATTAAAAAATATAAACTATATACAAATGTGGCGAAAGATAATCGATGACTATAGGTTGTAAAATCTAAATGATTTGTTTGAAATTAAATTGATTTTTTACATTCTAAGTAGAATGTTGCAATTTTCTCAATTTGTATGGGCGCTAAGTTATTCGGTATGAGACGTCTTTAACAATTTTCTCCTTATAGACGCAACAGATAGAAGTAAGATTAGTAGCGATCAAAAGCGCTTTTTTATCGCATTAAGCCTTATACCCCCTTTCATTTTTCGCGAACACTCCCTTTAAAGAGATCAGTCACTGTTTTAAAAGAGGACATAATGAGTAATGTTTAAATCGTCGAAGAGACTATAGTCGTAATTTTAACTGACCCTTAAACAGAGGGGCATGCACAATTCACAACAATGCCCTTGAAATCATAATCTTTTCAATATTGAAGATAATATTTTCTGATAATTTCTCCCTTGTTTCTGTAATTAATAAGTAGGTAGTAAACAACAGTTTTAAAAAACAAAAACATGGATATATATTACTTTGTTTATCAGACAAAGCTTTTAAGAGTACGGTTGCGAATTGGACCTGCCAAATTAGCAATGGAAGGTCATTACAAATTACAATTACAGTCCCTTTAAGCAAAACAGACCAAACTTATTTTTGACGCTCTGCAAAAAAAATAATGCATTAGTAAATGGAAGGAGGGGAGAGGAATAGTCCATCATCCCCTCCCACTGAGAAATTAGGTTTTTTTAGATAACTAGCTTGGGAATCCAGCGCTGCCCCGGTTACTCATAGTTACTACCGCCGTTTACTCGCACTTAAACGATTTTACCGGGAAACTAAATTTTCAGAATCTTCAAACCAAGCTAAGAACATTCCCGTGGGTCTCCCGAGGTCGGACAAACAAGCAAACAAACAGACAAACAGAGATTACAACTTTATATATATATATAGAGATTTATTTAAAATTTTAAGACGCAACTCTAAGAAGAATATGTCCTCTAACATATCTATTCTCAAGGCTCTAGTCCTATTTTAGTTTTAAATTACAGCTTTGGCTTAAGACCAAAATTTTCAAAAATAATTTAAAGCGCAGTTAGTTAAAAATAAATTTCTGTTACCTCAAAAACAAAGTTTGAATTTCCGTTGGTTAGTGAGGACACGTAGGCAATCATAGCAGTTATATCAAGGTTTATCTTTGTATCATCTATCTTCTCCTTAAATTAGATAAATTAGAGAATGTAGAGGACAAAAATACCCGAAAGAGGATTATAAAATCCGAAAATCATTATCTCGAATCTCAGAACCAGAAAAGACCTACTCATCTTCCTCTCCTTTTGTATCCTCGTTTTTCATAATATTTTTATATCTAGAAGCAATGGCCAAAAACACAGCCCTTTGGTCAAATGTAATAAATTCACGGGATTGTGTATAGTTCAACTATCTATATTATTTATGTTTTTGATTTGACCCTGACTGGCCATTCCGGTCAATCTATATTTACCTGTATCAATAAATTAGTATAGTACGAATCGTTGTTTTAGACAGACGTATAGAGCCAGGGTTGGCTAGAGATAATAGGGCCAGGGTTGGCTAGAGATAGAGTCGGGAAAGACTTGTTATTAGAGTTAGAGTCAAGTATTGAGAAATTGATCGTTACACAAATATAGATCAATAGCTGGACAAGAATAATACATAATACATAAACTTTAATAATCCTGAACAAAGTAGATATTAACACCTCTTAATATATTTAAAGGTACACTGACGACATCTTTTTTAAAAACATATTAAGAATGTTATTGCCTCAAGCCAAATTGTCTTTCATGTAACTAAGTTTTGATAGCAATAAGTTTTTTATCTATATATATATATATAATATATCATATATAATCTAGATAAGTGTCTCAATCTAGTTTCCCAATGAAAATTTGAGGCAAATCGGTCAAGGGGTTCCAGAGTTAAGATCGGACATACATCAAGCAAACAGAGATTTCTACTTTATATTTAAAGATAACCTAGGGAAACTTTGAACACAAGTGGGGCTCTTTGTACTATATTAAAAAATAGATAAATAAATATTAGATACTTTTAACTTGAGTCTAGAAACATTGTTTCTTTGAAAAAAAATCTCAACAAAACATTTTTCTTTATTTAGAATAAATATGACATCAATAGAAATTCTTGGAAAAATATTTCATTTTTAATTTAACAAAATAAAAGGTCTCTTGGTGTTTCTGGGACCTGGTTATTCTAATCCTTTGTTCACACTGTTTCTGAACAGACTAAACAAATAATACAAAAAAAACTGGAATTTTTCCAAAAAAAAATAATTGACTTGGCTTCACAAAGAACCATTGTTTAATGTCTAATAAGAGAGTAAAATAAAAATAAACTGTATATTTTACAATATTCTGTTTTAAGGCAAGAAAGCATAAGAAAATCAACAATGTAGATATCAAATCTATTTAATATGAACCTATATCAGTATCACAGTGAACGCTCTCACGGAAAAATCTTTTCGGATTTTGAAAATAAATTCTAGTAAACTGATGTTATAAAATGTACATGGCCAGGGCTACAAAAAAGTAGGTGATATCAAATGTCAAGGCTTTAAAAGACATTAAGTTCATGAATGAATAAGCGCGTGGTCTGGATCTTTTAGGGATACGGATCCACTTTTAGGGATACGGATCCACTTTTAAGGATACGGATCCACTTTTAGGGATACGGATCCACTTTTAAGGATACGGATCCACTTTTTCCGAAATGATTTCAGACTCGACGATTCATCAGTATTATTGGAAACAGATTAATTCATGCCAAGAAGGGATACCTGGGTGTCTTGAAGATTATCACAGATATTGATTTCATCAACCCTTATCTCATCAACTTCATCATCCTTATCATCATCATCATCATCTTCTGAACCGGACGAAGAGTCTTCTTGGAGAAGATCATCCTCAGATTTCAGGATCTCGCCAAACACCGTGGCACCCTTTGGAAGATAATCAAATCAAATCAAATCAAATCAAATCAAATCAATTCATATCAAATTAATTCAATTCAAATCAAATCAAATCAAATCAATTCAAATCAAATCAAACTAAATCAAACCAAATCAAATAATACTCTGCAGGGATGGTTTAAAGCATGCTTTGCAAGGGTCAGAGACTCAATTCCATCCCATACTCCGGGTTGTCAGTCCGATCTTTTGCGTGCATGATAAAACTGATAGCTTTGTTTTCTTGTGGGTCCTTTACCAATATGTGTAAGATGAGGATAAAAAATACTAATTTAAATGCTATTTTGCTTGTAAAGTTTACAGCACAGTTGGACCAAATTTGAGGCATGTTGCCACTTCAATAAACAATAAGTAATACAACCAATAAGCGAAAACTAGGGAGGATAGTTGGGGTTGTTTAGATTTTATTATTCCAAAAGGACCTCATTAGAAAAAAAATTTTAATTTGTTGCTGCTACTGTATTCCTGGGGTTCCTAGCTTTCGTTTGATATGCATGAAGCCATAGTTAAAACATTTTCATTTTTGGAGGTCATTTAGGTCATTAGAGGTCGTAAGAGGTCATTAGAAGGTCAAACACTGGATTTGTTGCTGCTACTGTATTCCTGGATTATGAGGGAACCCATGAGTAACCCCGGTGGTGACAATATTTTAAAAAATCGACATTTTTTAAAAACATTTTTAAGTGTTTTGACAACGCCAGATACTCCAGCTAGTATACAACTACAACTACAACTACAACTACAACTACAACAACAACAACAACAACAACAAGTATACAATAAATTAAGAATGTTTAAAATTGTTTTCCTCATTCTTAACTACTATCAGAGACGGTTTTTTCACCTTCTTTTTAACAGTGTCCGCAAGAGACTGTGTGACCCCATTAGCAAACGCAAACACAACCTAGTAACATGGGACTGAAAACATTACAAAAACATTAATAATTTTTAAATAATATAAGAACAGTTTGTTTTTATTTCCTATTTTGTTTATTTTTTACCTTATCAAAAAATCTTGTTTTGTTTCACAAGTGCGTAAATACTTGAAAATTGACATTGATATGCATTCTGATAATTGTCTCAAAACCAGGATAGGTTCCGAAAACGAGAAATGAACTGAAATGCGGTAATTGGTTGAATTTTATACACTTTTCAGGATACAAGTACAAGATTAGGTTAGTCTCGATATTAAGAAAAAGAAAGGATCAAGTCCAATATCCACCATTCTAAAGTTTTCAGCTTAGATTTATTAATTTACTCTAATAGATCTTGTGTTAATCATAAATGTGAATTTCTTTTCAAATCTTCTCTTACTTTCTTATTCTGTACAGTGTGCACACTGCACCCCCTAATAAATTAGAATTTTTCGCAGTACATATTTGCTGTTTTATTGGATTTGAAATTGAATCAGAGTGCATTCTAAATGAGGTGTCAAAATCTTTGATAACATCAAATATCAACCAATTCTTGCGAATTTCTTACTATTGATCGGCGGTTTTTATACCTTAAAGGGACTGTAAAGGAAAATGAAAGGGGGTACACAGGAGCCTGAGAATCTCAGGTTTGCTCCTGTTATAATTATTTAATTTTGTTTTTGAATTTGAAATAGATATAATTGATAATATTACATTTAGTCCGTATAGTCTGTATTACATCACAAGAACTTCAGCCAATGACAGTTCAGTATTGTTGTCACGTGATACAGACGGAAATCACGTGACCAGTATACTACACTGCCATTGGCTGAAGTTCTGGTGACGTAATACGTATTATACGGACTAAATGTAATAATATTCTCAAATTATATCTATAAAAAATGCGAAATAAAAATTGAATAATTATAACAGGAGCAAAACTGAGATTCTCAGGTTAATGAGGGTTTAAGTTTTTTCAGATTGGTTTCGTATTTGCTGAATATGATCTATTTAAACCTACAACTTTTATACAAAATTGCATATATATGAATTTTCGTATAAATCATATGAATGTCTTAAATGTAACATACAAACCTGAAATTCTCAGATTTTATCCTATAACCCCTTTAATTTTTCCTTTACGGTCCCTTTAAGTTTGTTGCATACTTACATAAAGATCATACACTATAAATGATACATATATATGTAATATTTAACTGTTTATTAGACTAGACTTCTGATTGTCTATCTACCTGTGGATTTCTGAACATTTTCTGGTTTTGTTTACTGCAGAGTACAAATTCTCGGACCTTGACAGATTTCAAATTTGTAAAACAATCTCAGAAATTAAACGATCAAACTGAGTCCGAATTTAATAAATTTGAGCCGCGTCTCAAATCAGCCAAAATCTGGTTTCAATTGAGCACCAGCTTAAATCTTGAAACATTGAACCTACCATATTTGAGCCTCGTCTCAAATTTGTTCCGCGTCTCAAATTCTTTAAACTCGGCCTCAGAAGTAACTTCTCATAATTAGAATAAAGAGAAAAGAAAATTAACAAAATAAACCTGATCTAGAATGCTTCTTTGTCCATACTGACTACTTCCCTTCAAAATAACAAAACGTAATAACAATAAATTATTTGGCTGAATATTACAGGACATTAAACAATGTATATAGAAAAATAAAGAGAATTTTATTCAGACTTGCGCTAATCGATGCATAGTATACTGTACAATGTACACTGTACAGCGTGTTGTACAGTGGTAGTGTACAGTATAATAATGTAGTGCACAATGTACACTGCAAACGGCACAGCTTACAAAAGTGTGCATAGTAAAAGGTACACAGTAAATCTACTAACTTTAAATTAAACTGTTTTCACATTTAATAAAATTCCAATTCCCTTAAAGGGACTGTGTGCGTAATTTCAAGTGACCCTCCTTGCAATGGTACCATAAAAACCTTTCTGATTAACAATTTGGAAGCTATTGTCCGTTTTAAAAGTTTCAGTGTTTTATTCTTATAATTTCTACATGTTTTCCTGCCGTAATGAACAAGTCACTTTTGCATAAACATTTAAATCATTTTCATGCTTGATCACACAAACATTTTAAGGGTACCGTTGTGAATCGGGCATTGTCGACTTTGCATGGAGGGTAGCTTGAAATTACGCTTACAGTCCCTTTAACATTGTTGCTTTCTGGTTAATATCTTCAAGGCAACTGGGGGATTTAAAAATAATAAAAAGAACTATTAAGTCTATTAAACATATACCTGAGAATTTAGCTCCAGAGCTTTAGGATTCCTAGCAATAACCTGAAAACACGGAAACAAAATTTTTTGATTATTTAAATTTATAAAAAAAAAATCTGAAAAGGCATGAAACTGCTGAAATAATCGTATAATCGAATTATTTAGTGAACGGATAAAACAAGGTACTAACGCAAGGAAAGTTATTTCAGAGGTGTACGCATTTTTGTACTGCAGTGTAATGTCTTTGGGCGGAAAAGTAAGCACACGACGGATGTCACAGCCTGACATGGAATCCATTTTCACAAAAATATCTATTCTTGTTTACAAATTCCGCCCAGAGAGTGACCTTCCATTAATAGAGAGGCATGTCCGATTCACAACGGTACCCTTTTAACCATTCTACGTACAACGATGAGGTAGATATCCTCATTGCTAGAGCTGAAGATTGAGTGCAGGGGGACTCGAGGTTACAGTGTACAATGTACTCTCCGTGCTATAGTGTGAACTCGCGCGGTTTCTTAGCAATTAATTTCTTGCTATGTGAATAAGAATATCTACGAAATCCTTGAACAAACAAAAGTTTTAAGGGTAAGGTTGTAAATCGCACATGCCTTTCTATAAATTTAAGTTCAGTCCCTTTAATAAAAATAATTAATTTTTACCTTGAGCCAAGTGAACCCTCCTTCGCAGACAATATCCACGTTCACCTTCTTTACAACACGTCCATCTGTATGCAATTATTATTATTATTATTATGATTTATGAATGATCATTGATCAAAATTTCGAAAATTTGCCTCCAACAAAATTCAATTTTCATAGAATTTAAAAAATCCACGAGAAAATACTTTTAAATCTGGGAACTTTTATCTTATTGTTTTATGATGTAAACAACTCGAAAATGTTCTCAGTTGAAATAGACGATGGGCGCGAAGTGCCATGAAAGGCTAGTCGACATAAGTTTGATTAAGGTTGTTGTAAACTGACCTTCGTCATACAGGTTGAAGGGTTGAAGAACTGAAACAGGGGTTTTAACTCTAAAACATTAATTATTGTTACATGGCTATATTATGTATATATCAACATTTCATAGACAGGACATTTCATAGACAGGACATTTCATAGACAGGACATTTCATATACAGGACATTTCATAGATAGTGCATTTAATAGAAAGGACATTTCATAGACAGGACATTCATAGACAGAACATTTCATAATCATGACATTTCATAGACAGGACATTTCATAGAAAGGACATTTCATAGACAGGACATTTCATAGACAGGACATTTCATAGACAGGGCATTTCATTGACAAGGCATTTTATCGACAGAAATTTTTATAGATAGGAAATTTCATAGACGAGAAATTTTATAGACAGGACATTACATAGATTGGACATTTCACTGGCAGGGCATTTTATTGACAGAAATTTTCATAGACAGGACATTTCTCTGTCTATGTAATTCCCTTTGAAAGAAATTTTCTTTTTATGGATTTCTATTTCTATGAAATGTCCTATCTATGAAATGTTCTATCTATGAAATTTCCTTTCTATGGCATGTCCTGTCTATGAAATGTTTATGATTTAGTTATCCATGAAATGTCCTACTTATAATTTAGTTATCTATGAAATGTCTCTCTATGAAATGTCTCTCTATGAAATGTCTCTCTATGAAATGTCTCTCTATGAAATGTCTCTCTATGAAATTTCTCTCTATGAAATGTCTCTCTATGAAATGTGTCTCTATGAAATGTCCCAACATTTACTTTTTTACATTTTTATCCCACAAGGGGCGGGAGGTAATTCTTAAAAATATACACCCCTGAAAAATTCATAATAAATAATAGATAATCTTTATCGTTACAAGTTAAACTAACCTGAACAGTTGATGAATAATAGAATGAAGATGAACTAGGTTACTGCACTGTATATGCTCTTTCTTTAACTCAGGTAAACTATCCTTAAAATATAGATTTTTAATATTTTAACATGCAATATTTGATTTCTTACAATGGTCGTCAGAATCAGTTGGAATTCGAAATTCGGTCTGAAGTTTTAGTTCGATGTCTGATGCCTGCTTGTCTGATTTTCGCTGTTGGTTGTTCGATTTCCGTTGTGCGTTGTGCGTTGTGCGTCGTACGTCGTGCGTTGTGCATTTATTGTGATTCTTATTCTTTAATGGTTAATCCTTGATTCATGTTTATTGTTTTGTGCCATGATCGATGTTCGTTGTCCGATGTTAAATGTTTCATGTTTATTGTTCCATTTCCGTAGCTAGTGGTTCCAATTTGTTATATGTGCATGGTTCCAATGTATTGTTTTTTGTTCCATGACATTACCAAATCAAAAAATGTTTTGAAACTGAGGTTTGGTTTTGTCTATGATATTATGGAAACTCTACCGAAGTTATCTATTCCCTAGAAAATTTATTCATAACTCTCATCTTCGTTTTCCCCTTTTCTCTTCTTTTTCACAAACTAACACTAACATCAGCTCAAATCAGGGCTGGATACATTTCATAAATAAATAATTACATTACCCCCCCCCCCCCAAAGTCCCAATGACACACTTGAGGACTTAATACTTTAGATTTGCTATTTTTGAGAATACATAAAAAAGTAATTTTCAACATTTTTATCCACAAAATTAAATTCCAAGAGTAAAACTTTCAGAAAATTTTTGATGCGTCAAGAAATTATGGAAAATATATTCAACCCTGGTTCGACAAAGTTCGTGTTTTCACCTTAATTTGAAACTTTTGAAGGAATTTCATTTCCTGCTTCACCTTTTTCTCCAGCTTAGCAATTCCTTTAGGTTTAATATTAGGTAAAGTTTTAAATAATAAGAAATGTTAACTTACCCCTTCTTAAAACAAAAAATTGATTTTATGCATTATTGCATTATGCAATGGGTTCATCATATTTATGTGAAAATAAAAAATTTAATTGACCTACAGTGAGAACCATTAAAATCTGGAATATGAAGTCGACTTTTAGACTGAAGTTATGACTTTAAAGGGACCGTTCACTTGTTTGGGTAATTTCAGGGTAAACTAAACAGCCTATCAGCTATTCATTGGTAATAGTCTTACTTTTCAAAGACATATGTGGCCGGAGAAAAAGCCGATTTTTCGTTCAGAATTTGAAGTTGTGACTTTAAATAGTCCAATGAACATGAGACACAGACATTGTGCAGTGTAAACTGACCCATTTCACTAAGTAATTTATGAATTTACTAGTAAAGCTATTTGCATTTAACAACATCAAATGCACTTCAGTATTGCTATAATGTCGTCTTCCTATTCCACAGTTTTCTGGTTATCACTGTAGAAGCCAGTTTTTTGGTTTAGAATCTATGTAAAATAGTACTCCACACTCCAATGGGAATTTTTTTTTTTTTTCTCAAAATTGAATGGATCTATGTGATGGATTAACCAGATTTCAGTGAAAAATTAAAATTTTCAATGATTAATTGTCAAAGGCGCCAAGATAAATCATTTAATTAAGAATTCGAAATTAATTTTGATTTAACTAATTAAACCTTCCTACAACTTTTCTGAAGCTGGGCTGCGCCAAATCATTTAACAGTTTTTCTCCAAGAGATATTCGTTCTTGCAGTACACTTCTTTATAAACAAACCAAATATAAATAAATATAACTATCTTGCAGTACAGTTCTTAATAAACAAAACAAATATAGATAAATATAACTATCTTGCAGTACACTTCTTTATAAACAAACCAAATATAGATAAATATAACAATCTTGCAGTACACTTCTTTATAAACAAACCAAATATAGAAAAATATAACTATCTTGCAGTACACTTCTTAATAAACAAACCAAATATAAGTAAATATAACTATCTTGCAGTACACTTCTTTGTAACAAAACAAATATAAATATAACTATCTTGCAGTACACTTCTATATAAACAAACCAAATATAGGCAAAAATAACTACATTGCAGTACACTTATATTTAAAAAAACAAATATACGCAAAAATAACTACCTAGAAGTACCCTTACGTATAAACAAACGAAAACTATCTTGCAGTACACTTTTTAAAAAACAAACCAAATATAGACAAAAATAACTATCTTGCAGAACAGCTCCAGTTGGTGTCTAATTTTCATAAAAAAAATCATCTCCCCCTGGAGCAAGGGGGGGGGATATACTCCAGGAAAAACTAAATCCTGATAGAGCTAACAATCTAACATTAAACTTTGAAAAAAAGAGTTAAAAACAAAAAGGCCCCTTTACTGGCCCATCAATATAAAAAATCTAGCATTTTTAGAACGTTAAATTTTAAAATTTAACAAAAAAACTGACATTGAAGTGATAAAACAAAAAAGTTTAATGTAAATATTTGTGAAAAACCAGTCCTTTAATTTGTTCAATCCTTTCCACCCAAACGACGCAAAAACATAGTGGGAACCGAACAACCAAAAAATTGAAAATTTTATTTTTTGGTTTCTTCCCTGAGTTCCTCCAGCTCCTCTGGGGTCTGACAATCCGACATTTTATCTGAAAAAATCCGCAATTTTTAATTCAAGTTTTCTTTCAGATTTTTATTAAATACACAAAATACAAATAAAGGCAACAAATATATTGTACACTGTACAGACGGACCATGAAAGACTGACAAATTTAACTCATGGAGAGAAAACAGATTTAAAAAGAATTCAACAATGGCATTAGACAGAGACAAAAAAAAATGAAGTCTGCGGATTTTTCATAGAAAAAAGAAGATATATTAAACAAGTGCCAGGGAACCGAAAACGTGACAAATGGACGTGATTTCTATGCTTTATATCCCAATACTTGTTTCGTCTTCTGTTTTCCTTTCACCTAAACAAAAAATAATTATGACGACAAAACAAATTAATCAACTTGAGTTCCAAATTTATGAATGCAGTCCGCTTTGAACAACGCAATGTAAGGTACTTTTCCTAGGGATTTCTACCGAGCTGTAATAACCAAAGGTGTTTTCCCAAGTGGCAACTTCCCAACTGTGCAATTTCCCAAGAGGCAAGTTCCCAAGTCTGTCCTAGTCACAGCGCTCGGACCCCAGCCTAATCTAACCTTTGGGAAGCTGTCGCTAAGGAAGTTTTCACTTAGAAGGTCGCCCTTGGGAAAAAGCCTTTGGGAAAATATCCAACTCCGTTGAACCGGGACCAGATTTACATTAGTGAGATGTAGCTCAACAAAAAAATTAGAGTATAGAAAAGTTGAGCAACATTAAACAAATAGTTTACAAAGGGGAGGGGTGGTTTTTCAAGGTAATATACATATATATATATATACGTATATAAAGGAAACATTTTCAAAACAATACAATACTTTCCCTTTTTCTGTCTTATACATTTTAATCGACTTTTTTAAAATCCACTCGCCTGTTCAAGATTTCTATCCTTCCAGTTAGATTTCCTAAGTTTAATAGGTCGGCTACCAACATATTTTCCATCCATTTCCTAAAATAAAATATGTTCAGCAATTGCCAACAAATTGATTATACATTAATTACAGTAATAAACAGTCTATAAAAGTATTGTGGCGATTGTCACATAAAAAGTAAACAAAGTAAACAAAAGTTTTTAAAAAAAGTATAGAGTGATAATTTACGATAATCCTTTAGCAATTGCCTAAAAGAGTACGCGCGCTTGCCACGTGATTACAAGGAAGAGAGAGATTAGTATATATTTAGGTTAGGTTAAGAAACTTTCTGGGCCGAGCGCTGCGGCTAGGACAGGCTAGGGGGAGCTCTTTTGGGCTTCTCCCTTATCCTTTGGTAACATGGAAACGCCTCAACACGGAAACGCCTTAAAAAGCAACTTTTTTGGAATTTCGTCTTTTTCCAAGAACTATCGGAAATCCCACAAAACCAATTCACAACAGGACCCTTGAACCTCCATGTGTTTATTAATTCAGAAGATAACGTAATTTTTCTTAAATGAAACTTTTTTCATTCTGATAGCTTCTCCTTTATTTCTAATGCAATAAAACCATATTGCACGAGTAATTTTTGCAGAGAAGCCACAAATGAAAATTAACAGTGTCTAAAGACAAAAACATAGATTTCTAATTCATATTTGATAAGACAAAGTTTTTAGTTGTACATTGGGCGTGCCACTATATCATTTGGGAGCAACTAAAATTACGTTTACAGACCCTTTAAAAAGGTCTTCGGTACTTTCCCAAAGGCATTTTCCCAAGGGCGACTTCCCAAGCGGCGACTTACCTAAGGTTATGTTAGGCCCTCTGAGTCGCCGCAGGCTGCAATGAGGGGGGTGTCGGGCACTGTGAAAAGTATAGATTTGGGAAGTTGCCGGTTGGAAAATTGCACATTTGAGAACTTGGGAAAATACCCTTGAGAATTTGACACTTACAAAAATCCTTTGGGAAAGTATCTAACATCTTTAAGAAGACCTTTGTTATACCTTGCTAGCTCTGTTATACCTTGATAGCTCTGTTATACCTTGATAGCTCTGGTGAAATCAGCTGGATCTTTAAAACTCACAAAACCGTATCCTTTCGTCTTATTACTTCTTTTATCTCTCACAACTACAGTTAAACAGATATGTGATAAGCATCCATTAATACATTTGGCTGGGTTGTCTGTTATTTCACGGGCGTTCCTCCCCCCCCCCCACCATGCATAATTCCTGTACACGCCCATTAAACAGTATTGCTTAGGAGGACTAATAATAAAAAATAACATATTTAAATGAAAAAATTTTAAATCGCATAGCAGTGATTTCAGTGATTAGAATCCGCAACATTATTAAAGTATCTTTTGCTTTCAAACTTATTTTATCCGTGTTTTAGCCAAAGAAATATATAAAAATTAAAGGAATAATAAATTTATTTGATGTCTAACCAATATGAAATTTCCTGCCAGGACGAAAGTCTAATATTAAAAACCGGAGATAGAAATATCAAAAATCTGTGTTTTCCCTTTTGCTTGTTGAAAAGATGTGTATTTGCTGAAAGTTCTCATCAAAACCTGAAAAAAATTAATTAAAAAATTACATTGAAAAACTTGAATTTTAAGTATAAAGTAGCTTGTTTTTTTTGTAGCTTTTAATGAGAAATGTTTTACTTAGATAACGTTTTGTGCGGTAGAGTTTTTCAATGTACAATATGTTTAGTCAGGGACTCGAAAATTTTAAAAGACAAAAATAAAAATGTCTGGACTACGGGAAAAAGTATAAAAGGGCCGGGGGGATTGGAAAATTTTGCCCGCTGATGTTTAATATTTCATTTCTCCTCGCTGCTAATTCTTCAAAATATTAACCCCGAAAAAGTATCTTGTTCACTATTCATACCTCATCTGTGACGTCATTCCCTAGATCTCCACAAAACAATCTAAAATTAAATTTCGTTATTTCAATAGAGTCTAATCTGTTAAGAATAAATGAAGATTCTAAGTATGAAGGCTGAAATTCAATTAAAGCTCTAAAATTCATGAATTAATACAGAAGTTAAATAAAAGCTCTAAAGTTCAAGAATTAATACAGAAGTTAAATAAAATCCCTTTTTAGCAAAAAAAAATCTCTTTTCATAACAATTTACTTAGGAAATTTAAGAGTTGACAGAAAAATTTGTTGATAGAAGAGTTTGTTGAACGAAGAGTTCGTTGAATGAAGAGTTTGTTGAATGAAGAGTTTGTTGAATGAAGAGTTTGTTGAATGAAGAGTTTGTTGAATGAAAAGCTTTGAATAAAGAATTCGTTGAATGAAGAGTTTGTTTAACGAAGAGTTTGTTGAATGAAGAGTTTGTTGAATGAAGAGTTTGTTAAACGAAGAGTTTGTTGAATGAAGAGTTTGTTAAACGAAGAGTTTGTTGAATGAAGAATTTGTTGAATGAAGAGTTTGTTGAACAAATAGTTTGTTGAATGAAGAGTTTGTTGAAGAAAGAGTTTGTTGAAGAAAGAGTTTGTTGAATGAAGAGTTTGTTGAATAAAGAGTTTGTTGAATGAAGAGTTTGTTGAATGAAGAGTTTGTTGAATGAAGAGTTTGTTGAATGAAGAGTTTGTTGAATGAAAAATTTGTTGAACGAAGAGTTTGTTGAATGAAGAGTTTGTTGAATAAAGAATTTGTTGAACAATGAGTTGGTTGAATGAAAAGTTTGTTGAATGAACAGTTTGTTGAATAAAGAGTTTGTTGAAGAAAGAGTTTGTAGAAGAAAGAGTTTGTTGAATGAAGAGTTTGTTAAAAGAAAAGTTTGTTGAACGAAGAGTTTGTTTAACGAAGAGTGTGTTGAACAAAGACTTCGTTGAAAGAAAAGTCCGTTGAACGAAACCAAACTCTCGAGTAACATACTTAACATTAATACATTTATAAAAATTTTTAAAGTTGGAGAATATAAATGAAAAGAATTAACAAGAGTAACCATAGTAAGTGAAAGTGTGAGAAGAAATGTTTACTCTGAAACCCTTTACATTAACCGCAAAGTTGATTTAATAAATAATAAGGAAAACTTCTGGAATAACAACATCTCTTACATAATGAGAAAAGGGAAAGTATCAAGAAACAAGAAAATACTCATGAGGATGGAACTATTGAAAAAGGTAGCGCTTAGTTTAAGCGCTACCAGTATAAACGTCGGACCCACAAACGTCGGACGTTACAAAGGTCGGACAGTACAAACGTCGGATCAGAACAAACGTCGAACTGGTACAAACGTCGGACTCGTACAAACGTCGGACTAGTACAAACGTCGGACTCGTACACACGTCGGACCAGTACAAACGTCGGATCAGATACATTCATAAGAAAAAACGTCGAACTTTGAGTTTGAAAAAAAAGACCATTGCTATAAGAAATAAATAAAAAAAATCAAAGACAACTGAATAAAGTCTCATCCATTGAAGGTAGCACTGTATAAAACAACTGACAAAAAGGATTTGGGTTTAAGTGTCACAAACTATGATGTTTCAATATGCCTATATCTTTGCAACCCGACGTCTTATAACCTTTAATATTTCAACCTATGAAATCTATAAGCTCAAATACAGTTTAAGTTTGAAAGTATTTAATGTTAAAACAATTACCAGGTTGCAAAGATATAGGCATGATCAAAAATGGGAATTGTACAAATTCTGCAGTATGGAATGTTTTCTACAACTTGACATCATACATCAAATTGTTTACAATAACAACAGGGCTAATTTCTGCCCTTACTATCAATTCATCAACGTTTGGGATCGTATCAGATGAAATTATATGGACCCCTGACCTGTAATCATTCGGATCCCAGTTTAGAAGAGACGGATCTTCCCACATCTGCCCTCCAGCCATTCTTATCATCTTCTTAGGTTTCTTACCAGGCTTATCTCCTAACCAATCAATTAATCAACATATAAATCAATTAATCAATACATTATTTAATTATCAATTGATCAATACATTTTTTAATCATCAATTGATCAATTAATCAATACATTATTTAATCATCAATTGATCAATAATTTATTTAAGCATCAGTTAATCAATTAATCAAAACATCATTCAATCATTAACCGTTCAATTAATCAACATATTATTCAATCATTTATTTATCAAATAATTAACACAATATTCAAATTCATCAAAATATCATTTATGCATCAATTAATCAGCATATTATTCAATCATTTATTAATCAATTAATCAACACATTATTCAATCACCAATTAATCAATTCATCAACATATTATTCAATCATTTATTAATCAATTAATCAACACATTATTCAATCATTTATAATTCAATTAATTAACATATTATTCAATCATCAATTAATCAATTCATCAAGTTGATTGATTTCCTTTTGTACTGCTGGCAGCTTGCTGATTCATAGCTTGTCGTTTAATTAACGTCGTCTGAAAAAAAAAGATTTACAAAAAGATTTGTTCTGAAAAAATGAAGAAAAAAATATTCTTTTAAGTGCAAATATGAAACAAAATAATGACTATAAACTAATCTTTATTTAAAAATGAAAAGGTAAAACCCCAGCCAAATATTTTAAATATTTGATCCAGAATGGAGAATTGAGTTGGGGGGGGGNGGGGTGTGTGACGTTATTTACCTGTGAGGCTTTAACCTGTTCCACCATTTGTTTTGCTTTCTGTCTAATCTCCTCTGTTGTAAACTAATTATAAGACAATTTAAGAATCAATTAATCAATCAATCAACCGTCCTATCAACCGTCCTCTCAACCGTCCAATCAACCGTCCTCAATTAATCAACCAATCAATCAATCAGTAAACTACAAAGTCAATCAATTCCAAAACAAGCAATTATCATTCACTCATGTGTTAATAATTATTGCGATCAATAAACCTGACAATCAATTAAACTGAAGAGTTTAAGACGTTTTCTCCAAGATAATAGATATGTTTTACGGTTTTATTCGCAAAATGAAAAATATTAAATAATGATAAAAAATCAATAAAAATATGTTTGGAGGAAAATTAATGAATGTTGCGTATCTAAAGGGTAAAAACTGCCAATTTGTCCATTTTTTATTTTTCCCTGATGAGGGAATTAATTCATTTACATAAATACCCCTAATTTCTATTGAATCTGAAAGAGCTGAGGTACCTGTGTACCGGGTTTAACCGCTGGCTTAGCTGGTTGTACTGGACCCTGGGTAACTTTCTGAACTTTATCCGCAGATCCTCCTGAAGAAATACTTTTTTAGTTTTCCATTAAGGGAAATATAATTCTAATTTAGGGTGACCCTCCATCTCAATGGCCTTCAATCCATTTAAAGTGGAAGATATCATCGTTTTTCTAGCTTGAAACGTGACAAAATCGTACAATTTTCTCCAGTGTTCCTGAAGCAGAATCCCCAAGTAATTTTTGAAGAAAAACCACAGTTGAAAATAATCAATTTTCAAACAAGAAAATCTTTTAAAGTTACCGTTGTTAATCGGTCATCCCAATCTTTAAATACAGAATCCCAATCTTTAAATACAGAATCCCAATCTTTTAATAGAGAATCGCAATCTTTAAATACAGAATCCCAACCTTTAAATAGAGAATCCCAATCTTTAAATAGAGAATCCCAATCTTTAAATAGAGAATCCCAATCTTTAAATAAAGAATCCCAATCTTTAAATAGAGAATCCCAATCTTTAAATAGAATCACTTCAAAATACGTCTAAAGCACTTTTCAAAATTTCTACACAGGCAAAATGGAATTTCGACTTTTTACTAGAAATTAATAATTTATTGTTTTTCTCGCTGATTTTCGAAACTTGTCACTTGACATTCTTGAATGATAAGTAGAAAATTGAACTAAAAAACAGACATAACATTGCCCGTGGAATTTTTTTTAAATCATAATTTCAAAAAAGTAATTCGTCATTAGCTTAATCTATGTTACCCCCCCCCCCCCGGGTACCGGTACCCATAGGTCTCCTAAAAATTTTAGCCAATTCGATCCAGCCGTTTGGCCAGCTTTAGCTAACATAAATGTAAATGTAAAATGTAAATATATTACATATAAGTATAAAAATGAATTAAGACTTCTAATATAACAATTACAAAATAAAAAAATGAAAGGAGTGTTCGCGAAAAATGAAAGAGGGTATAGATTGACTTTGAATTGAATTTCATATGGATAGTTTCTAATTTTACTTCCGTCTGATGCCTTTATAAGGAGAAAATGGTTAAAACGAATCGAACCGAAGAGCATAGAGCCCGTCAAATTCACGGAGTGGCATTTTTCCATATAGCTCGCAAATAATTAAATTAGAAACGACTCATTCAGATATTACAGCCTACAATCGTCGAATTCAATTCGATGCATTCGTATATAGTTGATATTTCATAATATTTTAAATTAATATATTATTTCTTTCCTAAATAAACATTTCCCTGAAAACTTGCTTTCATGGCTGGCGCTACATTTTCGAACATTCCTGTAAAAGTATGAAAATGTCGTCTTCATTATCAAAAATCCTCGAAACAAGAATGAATATTTTAAAAATGAACACTAGGATCAGATAAAATAAAAAAGTCATGAAATATCTACTATTTATATATGGATCGAATTGAATTCGATAATTGTAGGTTGTATTAAATATTAAGTTATAAATTTAATTTAATAATTTACGATTTGAGTGGAATAATGCAACTCCGTGCATTTATATGAACGCTACGCTCTTGGATGTGAGACGATCTTAACTATGTTCGCCTTATAGACGCAACAGATAGAAGTAAAATTAGTAACAATATCGATTTAAATTCGATATCTGCCTATACCCCTATTAATTTTTCGCAATACCTCCCTTTAAATTAAGGTTTTGTTTACCAGCCTGACTTGACTATCTATCTATCTATCTTAACCTAAAATATCCTGGATTAAAACAGTCGCGAGAGGTTACCTTGAAAAGCAGGTTTCTTTATTTTTTTGCAGAACGATTTTAATGATCGTGTCCGTAGCTAACGAAGGAAAAGCTAGCTTGCAGTAAAGATGGTAGGTAAGCCTAAGGGTTTAAATAACTAATCTGCATTAAGAGTTAAAGGTTTTTTCTTTTATGTTTCGTTATCCTTCTTATTTTTACTTCTTTAACAATATTTTTTCAAAAATGTTGAATATTTACATTCTGCATGGATGAATAATTGTATCTATAATTATTTTACGCAATAAAATCATATTTTTTGAACAGTCTCTTTAAAAAATACAGCGTTAGTAAACATTTGATATTGGATACCTGGTCTTGCAGTTTCTGGATGGAAAAATTGTGGCCTGGGATAGGAGGGCGGTGGAGGCACTTGTCCCCTTGGCATTGCTGACCGAGGAATAAAAGCGGGGCGGAAGGCCATCTGCCTTGGCGGACCCGCAGCACCGCCAACCTCCGCCTCGAACAGTCTCATCTGCTCGTCGAAATTCGACATTTTTGTCTGAAAACCAGGAGAAAATTAAATTAAATTTCAATTTATTTGATAAATATTTCGACTCGAATATAATTAGGATTCTGCTAATATATTTAATTCACAGAATTGCAAGATTTAGAGGAAATGTATATTTTTCTATTTTTCCTCATCTAGGATGTAAACACTGTCAGGGTTCTAGACCCTAGACATCAGATACCACCCGGGGCTGGACAATGTTCAATCCCGTCTGCAGTTGGAAAACGTCTCGGCATTGCTCCCGGACTTGGGAAACGTCCCGGCATTTCTCCCGGAGTTGAGAAACGTCCAGACATTGCTCCCTGAGTTGGGAAACGTCCTGGCATACACCCTGGAGTTGGTAAAACTCCGGAGATTTGTCCTGATATTCCAGGGACTCCTGGAACCTTAGCATCAACTCCAGGTACTCCTACTCTTAGCTGTTCCTCACCAGGCAGAGTAAACACAGATTTAGCTTTCTCTGAACCAGGAATTCAAAAATGATTTTTTCATTAATCAATAGGATTGAAAACGTGATTTGAAGTTACTGTAAGCACAATTTCATATGAAACCCTCAAACCCAGCACTAGAAAAAAGCATATTTTACTTTTAGAGGGAAAAATGATTTTTCGAGATAATTTTCACCCCTGCATCTCTCTGCCCCCTTTACTTCCTTCAATAATGAATTTCCAAAGATCCTAATGTGAAGATAGAACCAAAGAGAGAATGCTGAATTACTGGAAACTTACACAGTACCTCAGCTCTGTACATCTTAATCAAACCTGAAAAAAAATCAAAAGGAATGTTCGCCCAAAATAAAAGGTGGGTGTAATCAAAATATTTAAAAAATAGTTCAAATTATGAGTAGCAGGGACGATTGGAGGCTCAGTTACTCAATGATATTTGGATTTCCTATTTAGGTCCTGGGTTTTAATACTGGATATTTTATAAGTTTATCATTTAAAATGAGTAATTAATTGATAACATTTTTTACGTATTCGGTTCCTATTCCGGATACCCTTTTTATATTTGATAAACTCTCCATTTAGTTAATCTTTTTACAATAGTTCTTAATGAGATGTATGACATGAGTATTGGTTGTTTATTTTACGAAAGAATCATCTTTGTGCAAAACCGTCGATTAAATAGTCACTGAACACAAATTAAAATATTCTTATGTTTATATCGGTTTAAGATCGTTATCTAAAATTAAGATTTAATCCGGCTATAACAGTATTCATTTATATTTGCCATTCTCCAAGGTTGTATATTAAGGTTGCTTACTCTCGATGCGCTCCAATCTACGGAAAATGTCGTCTCCTTAGAATCCACATATATCGTCCCTTTTCTCTCTATAATCAGTGACGCCATTTGCGGATTATATCTATCTACGCTAAGCAGACGACATTTTCCGTACATTGAAGCGACCTTGCATTTAAAATACCTAGAGAAATGAGATAAAGGTAATGTGTAGAAGGGGGCATTACGCATGAGGAGGGGGGGGGGGGGGTTAAGTAATACCAATTCGTCCAGCATGTTACCTGTGAATACCTTAGACCAGAGTGGGACAGCACTGATATTCCACAGCTGATTACTGTGTTCGTGGAAGGGTCCAGTTTTCACTAAACAAAAATTACATTTATTTTAAGATGAAAAGTTATTTGAGTAAAATCCAAAAGAGGTGAGAAAATTTCTTTGAGCTCAGTGTTTGATTAAGGTTTTGATTCTTCATCAAGGAACATGGGGTAATATTTTAATCAGTGATTTTGTATCTTGTTATTTCGGTTAGATAAGCGCGTACCACCATCGATTAAACTTGACAATGTTGACATCAATAGTTTATGCAGATCCGCGCTGAAAAAAATGGATCCGGATCCAGGTCCTGCACATAATTCTTCAAGATTTACTGATTTTTTTTACTAATGAAAATTTTTCAAAGATTTTTTTTAGTTTATTTTTTGCTAAACTTAAGTGAACCATTCAGAAATTAGCTTGGTTTTGGTTGGTATTTTTGGATCCTCATATTTTTGCGAATCCGGAACCGGATCCTATGCACTGCTATCTCGACTGATGTACACTTTACCTTGATTGATGAACGCTAAACAGGCGTAGAAATGATAATCATTTTTTAACATCTCTGCAATCTCAGGCTCAGCAATACTCTTGGGTTTTACACGGGATCCTGCAAATATCAATATTAAATCAAGAATTCAAGAGATTACTGAAGGCTCAAAATTAAACGAAATTCTAATACTACAAGTATTAATATGATAATTGAATTACTGCAATAAAATATTAACCAAATGCTTTTACGACGAAATCAAGAATCAGTTTCCTTGAGAATTATCGTTGTTTTTGTTATCTATTGGTTTAGTTGTGTTAGATAAACGTTAAAGCGGCTAAACCGATTAGACACAATTTCTATGGTAACTCAAACAACCCCAAAGGACAGGGAAAGTACGTTGAAAATCAAATTGTTTCAATTCAATTATGTTTTTTAAATGCCAGTAAAGAAATAGGGATTTATGTTATTTTTATTATAATTCTCTTCGATCATATATTTGAATATCTGTATGTTAGCTATAGCTGGCCAAACGCCGGGCAACACCGGGCACTTCGGCTAGTTGTTATTATTTCTAAAATGTAGAAAGGGTTGTAGATTTATCAGCAACAAAGAGCTAAGATTATTACCAGAAAGACTCTAATGACTTGAAGAGGTCTCAAGTCTACCGCCGGTTCGCATCTTTCATCACCGATTCAAATTTGAACCGGCAGATAGATTAGCGACCTAGCTCAAATTCATTAAATTCCTTCCCTCGGAATATGAACTAACGCTGAACTAGATATATTTTACACAAAAAATGTCGGTTGAATAAATACCTTTGATCAGCTGAGCAGCTCCTAGGATGAATGCAACAAACTGATAATCATCTGAAATAAAATAAAATAAAATAAAGAATTTATTTTTATTAATCATTTATTTGATTTTCTAATTCATTTACATTTAATTTTGTGCAAACAAAAACAATCCTAATTAATTGTTGATTTTTTTACCTCTCTCAGCAAACATATTTGCAATCTTCATGAAATTTTTACAAGAGCAATTTTGTGCGACCTTTTTTAGTAAAATATTTTTTCAACCTTCTCAGTAACCTTATCTTTTAGGCTACATTTTAAAAGAGCAAATTTTTTATGAATTTCTTCATAACCTTTTTTGCAACTTTAGTAATTTTTTTCAACATTTCTTTCAATCATTTTAGTAACCGCTCATAAATCCTTTTCGTAACCATCATAGCAAAATTTTCAGAAACATATTGCCATGTTTTTGAAAACTTAAAAACAAAATATTTCCAGCAATTTTATTTTTGTTACCTAGGTTCCAAACCCCCATACTTCCGGCAGGCTCCATCCTGTATCTGGTTTGTAGATATCGGGCTAAAAACATTTTTTTTTTTAGTTTTGGTTTTTAACCTTCGATGTTGTATTTAGCTGAAAATATATTTTCTTTTTGCCTTGTTTTTACACGTAATAATTGAATAGAGTCCTTTTTATAATATTATTAACTTAATAAGAGAATTTTAAGAGAATTTAGTTTGCTATGCCCCTTTAATTATTTAGAAAGGTATTCTGAATTTAATGTTTTAACTAATAACAGAATTTCACGTAATTTGCAAGAGAAGAAAATAACTTCACTTTTATCATGTTATTAAACAGTAACACGTGTTTTTCTACTCTATAGATCCGGATCTTCATTACATGCTTTACAGCTTCTTGGATCCGGATCCGGAGTAAAATAAAATGTATCCGTTGTTGTGGGATTTCTTCAAACTTATGAATAATTGAAGATGTTTGGGTTACGACAGGGGTATAAATGTTATATAAATAATTTTTCAATCCCCTCTCCTCACAAATATGTTTTTCCCATATGTTCTGCTGCATTTGATAAAGTAAATGTATTTTTTGCCAGCTAAAGTTATATCTTTTGACATTGAGTTGTGGAGCAGGTAGGAGAGAGATAAGGAGGTTTGCAGATGATGGATTTCTCCCTTTATTCCTTCAATTATACTCTTTCCAAGTTAAGGGGCATTAAGAAAACCCATAACTGTACCCCTTATGCAAAATGGGGAGTTGTAAGCCCTAAAGCCCCATTAAGAGGAATCTTCCACAGCAGTCCAGTCCTCACAGCTGATCGAGTAAAAGACTGGTATTGTTGTGCATGGCTTGTATTCCTATCAGGGATTAGACTCCTTCTTTCAGTTACACCAGGCTGAAGATGGAGTTTTTTTATATTCTGTGTACATTCCTTGCTTCCCCTGTAGGATATGAGATGCACACCTAAACAAAGCGCTCCACCAAACTGAAGGCGGTAGGGAACTTTAATCTGTAACTTTATTCAATCAGGATCAGTGTGGGCGAGGCTATTACTGCAGCTCTGGATCTGACAAGCAAACTGTTCCGTAAGAGCTATACCGACATATCTGCGCTATGGACCAAGAGGCCCTCTGCAGATTATCCTACAAGCTAACAAGTAAGTACGTTGTCATTTAAGATATAGAAACTACTTTCAAACCCCATTTTTTTATGTTCTTCCTATAAAATTAAAAAATTAATGTTGATTACTGACCTGTTACCAAATCCATCTATCAGGTAGGGGGCTATCTCTAGCGTAGCCTGCTCTAGATCAGCTGGTAGGATTCCCTCAAATAAAAATAATGATCATTATAATAATTATAATAAAAATAACAATATTTGTAATAATTACAAACCACATCATTGGATATCTAGCTTGTGTCCATCTAATATAGAAACTTAGCTTGGGTGATTGTCTTTACATTCATTGATTTCAATTTCTAATTGCAGGTTGCTTCATAAATAGAGAGAGAAGAAAAATAAAGTTAACAATGAAACAGTCATGTTCTCTAGCGAGTTTCCTAATAAAAACATTATGATCTACTGAGATTACTGCTTTATAATTAGATATTAATATCTACAATATCTGAGATGATGTTATATTGTTCAACTATAAACAGGTTTCGCTCTTTGTTAAATCATTAAACAAGCTCTTTGACTATATTTTAAGTCAGAAGATTAAATTAAACCAAGAAATCGTTTCTACAGTCTTATCCTTTGTGGGTAACCCTGTATTTTACCTTTAGAAGAGTGGGAACTGATGATTCCATTTTATCAAACCAATCCCGATATGCAGGGTTTCCATACCGGCTCTAATCAATCCATACTCTAAGGTACTGTAAGCATAATTTCAAGGGACCTTCCATTTATAGAGAGGCATGTCCGATTCACAACCGTACCCTTTAAACCTTTTTCCGGACAATGATGAGGTGGATACCCTTATTCGTATAGCTGAAGGTTGAGTGCAGGGAGACTCGAGGTTACAGTGTACACTGTACTCACCGTGCTATAGTGTACACTCGCGCGATCTCTTGACACATAAGTTTCCGCTTTATAATATCATCGAAATCCTTGATCAAGCAAAGGTTTAAATGGTATTGTTGTAAATCGAACATACCTATCAACAAATGGAAGGTCACTTGAAATTAGGCTTACAGTTCAGGAATATATAAAAGGTCATAGTAAAATAGTGGTATTACCTTCATTCCTATCTCATGTTTCCACAAATTAAAAAGACAGTAGAAGTAATTTTAGGTGACTCTCCATTTACAGATTGTGCCCAATCCCTCCCGAGATCCATTTTTAAAAATCCTAGTTATTGATTAGGCATTGTGTTCCAAAAACTGTTTTGTATACTTCAGATCTGAACAACTACTTGAAACCTTGCAACTACTTGCAAAAATGATAACCTTTTTCCAAAAAATTCATGCAATTCACCAAAAACTAAAAACTAATTTAATTAAAATAATTTATCACTTAAAAGTTTTGGACTCTGTAATCTGTATGGATGAATTGCCTGCATGTCTGTTGGTGGTGTCTGATCAGCCACTTCTTTTAAATTCTTTATCACAGATATCACAAGAGAACACCGCTCACTGAACTCGGTAACATTTTATTTTTTCCGATTTAAAATTAAAAGTTAACAATAAAAAAATTGATATTTTTTAAACAACAGTACTTTTTCCACCTTTTGTTTATAATATTTTTTTCAATTACTTTCAATTACTTATATTTGTCCATTTTTTTTCACATAAATAGTTCAGCTGTAAGGAAAAGATTTAGTTTCATATCCTTAAGAATGAAAACTAAGTTGTAAATAAATATGTGATATTTTAAAAAAATATATTTAAAAAAATAAGTAAAAACAATATTTAAGTAAATAAAATATAAGAAAAATATAAGGATCTAGGATAATAATCCTAAACCATAAAGGATGAAGGGGGGGGGGGTTAGTTAATTACAAAATTACAAAATAAAATAATGAATTCCTTATCAAAATCTCTTCATTAATTTTCCTTCCTTCAATACTCTCTCCTATCGACACGATAAATCCTGGAAAATTCATGTTTCAATAATTTGTTAAGTGTAAACTTAATGCTTTAACTGACAGATTATTTTGTTGATTAAAGACAAAACAAACCAAAAATAAGAATTTGATTCAGATTGTATTCTAGAAGCGTTTAATTCATATGATCTATCTAATAAAGCTCTTTTCTCACATATATATTTGTATATATGCTAACGGCAGGACCGAATTGGCTGACATTTTTTTTGCAAACCCATGAGTTTACCCTTGGGGGTTAAATAGGCTAACAAAAATTAATTTTTTGTTTTTCAAAAATTAATTTTTTTAAATTAAGTTCTTTTTTAATTCTAATTTTTTTCATGTGTTAAGAAATTCTTCAGGCAACGGCGTAGGGTTCCTCCCAGAGCAAATTTGGGTCAGTTTACCTGACCCAACTGACCTACCGCTAACTACTGAAAATTTTGAGCAGAAACGTACAAATTTTGGAGAATAATCTTCCCATTTAGAGAACAAACCTGACGATTTAGGGGAGAAGTCTATCAAGTAACAGAAGAAAAGGCCAATTTCAGCCAAAAATGCCAATCAAGATATTCAGTTGGTAACATTCTTCATATTTCATAAAAAAAACTGCCACACAAATTATGATTGAGTTTAAAATCTGTTAAAAGATATCAAATGCCACAATAAATACCCTGACACATAAAATCTGCCACAAATGCAATTGAAGCTAGAAAATCTGCCACAAAATTTATCTTACTGCATAACTCTGACATTAATAAGCTTAAAATCTGCCATAAATAATGTAGTCAGAAAACAAATGCCACAAGAAATACCCTGACAAATAAAATCTGCCGCATTTGCAATTGAAGCGTAGAAAATCTGCCACAAACATTATCTAAATGCATAAAATCTACCACAAAATTATGTTATATCATAACAAATGCTTAAGTAATACCCTGACACAACAATTGCCACAAATGCATTCAAAGTTAAAAAATATGCCACCTTCAGTTTTTAAAAGCATGAACATGTCAAAAACATTTTTTAACTGCAAAAAATGCTTTTAAGTTATATCTTGGCACATCTATCTATCTATGATGACTCCCCAATAACAGAAGTGTTACCAGGTAACCACCCCTCTCAGCAACCCAGTGCTCTCTTCCTGGGTGCATGGATTACAGAGTTAGCATGACATGTGCAATGACACTGTTATAAAATCTGCCACACATACAATCAAAGCTCAGAATGTATGCCGGAAAAAGTATCCAAATGGAAACACATTTTGCCACAATTGCAATCAAATCTAAGAAACTAGGCCAAAAACCGGGAGAGGGGACATTATCTGATACAAAAAGCGACTTTTTGTATCATGCAAATACAAAATATCTTCTGAATAGCTTGTAGAGAACGAAGCCATGTTTTAAAGTTAAAACAGTCAAATTACCTATCTAAAATAAAATATTGTGTGTAATAAGTTAATATAGCCTTCGATTTTAAGTTTTAATTGTTGCTCTATCTTCTTATTAAATGAACTAACAATAACCAAAAAAAGATTTCGCCAATATACCGAATAACCATATATAATAGGGTCTGATTGGTTCAGTCGTTTTGACGTTTATTGGATTCAATGTTTCAACATTAATTTAAGAAACATTAATTTCCTAAATAATCTTGATAAGCTTCAGATTCCATCCAAACCTTCATTTTACTCGGACAATTCAACATCTTGGTTGGAACAAGAAAATCATACTTCTTCACGTTGAGATTTTCCGCCATTTTAAATCTGAAATTATTTCCTGTAAATTTCCTCGTCGTAATATAACAACGGGGCATCCACGCTTAGTAAACCGTGCTCCAAGGCCTTCTCAATATGGATCTGCAGACGTCGCCTAAGGATATGCTATAATAATTACTTATTTAATAAATTCCAGATTTTCCATAAGAAATGGATCAGTTGTTTATTTTGCGCTATCGCGACTGTAGACGTAATTTCAATTGATTTATACACATGTTTCCATCACAAAGAAACTCTTAAAGGCCATGTCTTATCAAGAAAAAATGGAATACATCACTAAAAATTTAAAAATAATTTCAGTTATGGTTTCTCTAATAACGTGTCTTGTGGATTTGAATTGAACAAAAGAAACAAATTTTTAATATTTAAATTATCGTTACCCACCATTGAAACTGACACACTCCCGTCTTGTATGGATCGATGAGAGCACCTGAGTATGGATCGATAAACTGTTGCAATAATCCAATATTCCTAAACATATTATCAATCATCATGCGACTACAAAATATTGTTTGAGCTGAGCTGAAAACTTAAGAATTGTGGATATAGAGATCTGTGCTTGATCTTCTCTATTTGTTAATCTTCAGATTATTTTAATCGTTATCTGCTAAACTGCCTAAAATTCTACCAATCAGAGTGTACCAAAAGAGAGGATTAAAACTAAATATAACATTCCTAAACATATCAATCCAACATTCCTAAACTGTGATAAAACCAATCCTTAAGTCACACAGTCGTTTTCATATTCCTAAGTTTCCACGAAGGATCTCAGCAGGGTTGTTGTATATTTTTTAGAATTTTTGATAATTAGGGGGGGAATGAAGTATGGGGCATCAAAAGACAAGTTTTTCATTTCTCTGCGTAAACATATATAACTTCTTGGGAAACAATTATTTTTAAAAAAGGGGGGAATTATTTTTAAGAAAAATATATACCCCAGAATCTCAGATAGAAAATATAAATAAATATCTTCATGAATCTTAGATAGAAAACATATATACACCTGAATCATAGATAGAAAATATATATACCCCTGAATTATAGAAAGAAAATATATATACCCCTGAATCATAAATAGGAAATATATATACCCCTGAATCTTAGATAGAAAATATAAATAAATATCTTCATGAGTAACCTGTAATCCACGACAAGATATTCATCCCGACAGATAGGGCAAGGACTAGCATTGGCAATCTTTTTGTCTCTGATACAGGATTCTCGGGTCTTTGGGATAAAAAGGTTTCCTCCCTGCACAATATCGAAGATATCAGGGGTGACGTTTTATTAACCCCACCCACACCCCGGACCCTACATGCACACATTTTAAATAATGTTTTATGCATACGAACATTTAAATATTTCACCATTACATGAATAAGTTTTTTGGGTTTCAGTAATAAATGTTTACTGTATGAGCATTGAGCAATGAGCTAGGGATCCCCNAACCCACATTTTTTGTACATACCTTCATATTTCTTCTATAGTGAGTCCAGACTGGTTCATCACCATAAGTAGCCCTATATTTTATTTTTATATAATAAAACAACACATTCGTATAGATGTTCCCTACAGCCGGCCAAAACCGAATGAGCTGAATTTTTTTGTGGACACTCATGGGTAGCCCGGGGTGACATAAACTAAAAAATTAGAATTTTTTTTATTTAAAAATTAAATTTTTTTAATTATCGATTTTTAAAACTTCCACGGGCAACGCCGGCACTTCAGCTGGCAATTAATAAAAATTATACGTTTAAAAAAGCAATCTGATGCCAAAAAATAGGCAACTAAAAAAACTACAGCATTAAAAAAGAAAAGAAGGTATCAGCTCACTCGAAAACTAAACTAAAAAATTTTAAAAATTTATTGGTCAAAATTTCAATTTTGGTGCTAAAATCTTGTTATCTTAAAAACAGTATTTCAATCTTTTAAAGTAGGATTTGATGAATAACGAGAAGTGATTGAACTTGGTATGGATAGCTCCTCGCAGTGCTTAGGATCCATTTAATTTTGATGCGGATCCGGATCCGGATCCAGGTCATTTCTTTAAGATTTACTGAATTTTTTTAACAAAAAATAATTTTCAAATTTTTTGTTTTATTTTTTTCGCTGATTTTCATCCAAAAACTTGATTAATCATTCAGAAATGAGGAAATTTTTATAATCTCCCTTTTTTGATAAGTTCAGATTTGGGTTATAGGATTAAAAGCTTTTTTTTCAGTTTTTGATTGATATTTTACCCTTAGGATCCGAATCCGTGGATCCGCATATTTTTGCGGATCCGGATCCAGGAAGCCAAAATCTTGCAGATCCACCGGATCCGGATCCTAAGAACTGGCTGCTCGTAATAATGATTAAATCCGACGTCTTGTTTCTGGTTTCTAGTTCATGTTCAAATTATAAATCCTTCCTACCTATATGCAACACTTTCTAAATACTTCATCGAGAGCTCAACCGGGATATTACGAGATCTATCTTTCTGATCATAATACCTTAAATAACAATATTAAAGCTAAATGGTCAACTTACATAAACAGGGGTTCATTGAAAAAATGTGTGACCAGATAAAGGGTTGACATTGCGTGTGGAAAATTTTATATACGAAGATACTAATTGTGGCAGGTTATACAGACGTAAGATACTGTTTATGGCAGATTGTATGTGGAATATTTTATATACGAAGATACTAATTGTGGCAGGTTATACAGACGTAAGATATTGTTTATGGCAGATTGTATGTGGAATATTTTATATACGAAGATACTAATTGTGGCAGGTTATACAGACGTAAGATATTGTTTTGGAATATTTTATATACGAAGATACTTATTGTGGCAGGTTATACAGACGTAAGATATTGTTTATGTCAGATTGTATGTGGAATATTTTATATACGAAGATACTTATTGTGGCAGGTTATACAGACGTAAGATATTATTTATGGCAGATTGAATGCTCCTACAAGTTACTAAGTGGGATTTTTGGGTGCAATGGGTTATGTTAACTTCAGGGGTGTACATTTTTCAAAATTAAGAAAAATTATTTTTCAAGAATTGGATGGGGAAAGAATTTAAAATTTGGACATTAACATTTTTATCCTTTTTTATACGTTTTACACAAAAAAATTATTTAATTTTTATAATTTAGCGAATAAAACCTTTCAAAAGTTTACCTTACTTCTAGGGGGGAAAAATTTTAAAAGGGGAGAATGATTTTTCTAGAAAATATACGCCTCGGGGAGACTTTTATATCTTTATATGAGAAAATAAATATATGAGATTTCGTTTTATAATAGAGAAACATTTCTTCGCAATGATTATTGTTATTTTTGGCTCAATTCCTTTTTTATTTTGTTTTCCCTTTTATTATTTATTATTTTCGATCTTACGAGTTATATTACGAGTTTTTAAAAGACAATCTTGATTTATGGAGAGAGAAAAGCGCCAAAAACTTACTTTTCAACAAAATCTCCGACATTGTCTCCGTGCACAGATCCATCTTCATCCTGCTCCTCCTCCTCTTTAATCTCCTCCTCAGCCTCATCGTCAGCAGCGAGAAGTGAGCGAGAAGTGCAAAAAGTATTTTTAGAAACCGGAAGTCTAAGTTTTAAATGGTTGATATTAGTTTTAATCAACTGGTTCTGCAGAAAATGAGAAATAGGAAAGTTTCTAGAAGGTTTCCGAATTAAAGGGAGAATGTTTCTAAATGACATTTTATCTAAAAATACAAAAAAAATATTTATCACATATTTCTATCTGTTTAAGAGATTTGCTTCGTCTGTCCATCTTCTTTAGCAAAATACGCTTTCAATTTATCAAGTTCCAAACACAGGTTTTAAACAGCAAAGACTAAATCCAAAAAGTTTTGTTTTTAGAACAATAATAAAATCATCATTGCATCATGCATGTGAAAAAAAGATGAGACAGAGAAAGCCTTGACACAGATATACGATAAATACAATTTTAATTTACAAAGCTTGAGGAGGTAGACATTGGACAATTAGGTTGGTGGGAAGGGAAGGCAGACTATGGCATTGGCTAGGAGGAAAGGCGGACGACTGGGTGTGTGGAAGGCGGTAAGGTCAGACGGATTGTGGGATTAATGGGAAGAAAAGACGGACGAATATTGCAGCAGAGGAATGGCGGAGGGGACGAGGCTGAAGAGTATGGCGGCAGAGGAATGGCGCTAACGAGTACGGCGGCAGAGGAATAGCGGAGGTGATGAGGCTAACGAGTATGGCGACAGAGGAATGTCAGAAGGAAAGGCTGATGAGTACGGCGGCAGAGGATTAGCGGAGGAAGAAGTCTGATGAGTATGGCGGCAGAGGATTGGCGAAGGGATAAGGCGAAGAAGTTAAACGACGGCAGATAAGCGGGATGAAAGGCGGACGAATACGACGGCGAAAGATTCGCATAGGGGTAAGGCGGACAAAGGGGCGTGGGAAGTTCTTTGCTGAAATGAAGATGTTAGAAACAGGGTTTATGTTATGAATGAAAGGACTTCATGAACTTAAACTGAGACTAGATTTTGGGGTCTAAGTTAGGTTAAAGATATGATTTTAAACGTTTATTAATCGCCCTAATGATCATAAATATCTTCCAGGCAAAAGGACAAGACGAAATAATTTTTGTTGGATTTTTTCTGTTTTTCTCTCTGGAGGGGAAAAATGCAGATTAAAGTACTGGTTTTTTTTAAACTGGTTTATAAAAAAGATATTAAGAAAGTAAATAAAGAAGACATATTTTTGCTTTCATTGGATCTTTAATGAGAAGAGCTAACAATAGGTCTCATGTGTCTAACTCCCCCCTTCCCAAAAAAAAAATTATTGTCATTCGAGTATTTAGATAGGAGATAAATCGGGCAAATTGTGCATGGAGAATTTTGCTGCTTTATTATAAATATCTTCGCAAGGAACAAAATCATCCTTTAATTTTATGGATTACAATATTTTATTATCACTACATATATAATTTAATCAATTAAATAAAGCAAAAAAAATATTATTATCATCATCTGAAAAATTTTGGGATCAACCGAAACAAAAACTGTTCCAAATAAAAGAACAGTTAGTATGTCATCTTTGCAATGAAGGGGAAGTAGATAATATTCACTTACCTGGTCTTTAAAGACTAGAGAAATGGGTGTGGGAATGAATGAATCAATATATAACTCGGTAAGTTTGTTAATTACTATTCGGAACAGAAAATAAGAAAATATAATTTTGAAATTATGAGTAAGCGAATCAAATCAAGTGAATAATTCAAAAACAAATATTAGAACTATCAACTATAAGGTCAGCAAGTATTAATTGTTGATTATTTGATGACAAAAGAGGCCTTCATATATCAGTCATTTATCCATTTAATTTTATAAGTTTGATTAATATACAATATATTGCGAAACTATTCCAAGTCGAAATCTATAAGATCGGAATCAAGTCTTTGTCTTCGACTCGAGGGAGTTCCGTCCTCCGAACTCTCACTGTCCGATACTCCGGTAGCTGTAGTTGATCGACCCGTCCCGGAGCTCAAACCTGGCCTACTCTCTGAACCCGAGGTGGTGGTGCTTGTGGTTGAAGGGGACCCGGAGAAGGATTGACTAGATCGAAGAGTTGAACCTCCATCTGGCAAAATTAACTATCATTCGAAAAATATTTTTTAAAAATTTGTATTAAAGGAAAGATTCCTGTGACCCCTTGTTCAATGATTATGGATTACTGTCTCAATAAGTTTTGGCCCAAACTTTAAAGCTGACTGAAGTATGCTTGATTGGAAAGAAAACGGGAACAAACAGCTTTTGGGAGTCTGTAGTTCATGGACCTACATTCAAAGGAGCTAAAACGTTTAATAATGAAGCAAAAAAAACCTTGTATTTACAATTTCTTTGACTTTTTAATTGTTAAAAATTAACAAATTCTAAGAGTTGGGTTGACCCCTTAGATCGGATATACTAGAAAATATCAAAATTGAAGTTTAACCATTCCCAGCGGATGATGGGAATCATATTTAATGCTCTGGGGAAAAACTGAAATTTAATTCAAGCGCAAGTTTTTCATCCTATTCGAAAGGGAGGGGATCATTATTTTCCAAAAAATATATTAACACCTGAAAGGGGATGTTAGGTACTTTCCCAAAGGTTTTTTCCCAAATGGCAACTTCCCAACTCCAATGTCTGTACTAATCGCAGTGCTCGGCCCCCTAGCCAGGTATAGCCGCAGCACTCTGCACTAGTTGAGTCGGCACCCTAGCCAGTTAAAGATGCAGCGCTTGGCCCCCATTGCAGCCTAAGTCGCCTCAGAAGGCCTAACCTAACCATTAGGAAATTGCCGATTATGAAATTGTCCCTTAGGAAAATGCCTTTGGAAAAATACCGAACATCTGCAAGTGTACCTGAATTACTTTGAAGTGCAGAATTAAGGATACTACTGAATGCATTCTGAATGAAACCTAAACAATAAGAATAGAAATCCTGAACCAATAAATTACAAATCATAATTAAATTGAATTTTTCTCCATACTTAAGAGTAATCTCAAATAAATAAAAATAAAAACTGCAAAGTTTGAATTAAGACAAGTACAAAAATGCGAGCCTAAAAATTGCGCACGTGACTCCAATTTTTTTCAAGATAACTATTTACCTGTAAGTCCGCCCGTTCCTACTGCCTGCTCTGTCGCTCCCCCTCCTCCCCCTTCTACAATCGAACTATAGGAAGCATCTTCTGCTGCACCTCCCCCTCCTCCCTCTTCCCCTTCTACCATCGAACTATAGGAAACCTGAAACAAGTATTTATAAACAATAACAAGCAGTTTGCTTGGGATCCAGACCATTATTGTTTTATTTATCAGGAACCGCAGCTGTGCAAAACATCAAACTAAGAGTTTTAGAAAATTAAGATTGCTCTACACTATTAACTAAATTAAGATTTAATCGTAAATTTCTGCCTGTTCCTGGTTTCCTGGTTCCTGGTTCTCATCCCCAGACAAAACCTTCCTGCACACAGGACAGGTACCGTGCAGCTGTAGCCAAGGAACTATACAATCCTGACCAAACCAACAGAATTCAGTGGGGAGACCGAATGTTTCTTATTGTAAATTTTTCTTTTAAATAAACAAAAACATGGATTTTTTCGCGCCTGCTGAGTTTAAAACTTTAGAATGAGATATCCTTAATCCCGATCGCTTAATCTGCGTATCCAATGGACAAACTTATCAGTTTCTTCTTAATCCTATTTTTATGACATCCCTACTGTGTAACAGTTGAGTTTGATAACAATTACAGATCACGATGCTATATCGATTGGACTAATGTCCGATTAAAACTAAAGTCAGCTGTTCACAAGCCGGTTTTTACAGCATTTAAACAAATATAAATTTAATCATGTTAATATGAGCTTATTAAAAAAAATATTTGATCACATTTGAAGACTATAGCCATTTTTGAACGTTAGTCGTAATAAACATTAAACCAAAACTTACGCTCGTACCATCGATTAGTTCAATTGATATGACACCATCAACACCAGATATGCGCGTATAAATTAAAAATCGGGTTTTTAAAAGTTAAAGAGCGCATTTCTAATTTCTAGAAATTAATCTAAAGACTTAATCAGTCTTGATATTAGTAAAAAGAGAGGATCAAGCATTAATTTTGAATTGATATCCACCATTCTAAGGTTTTCAGCTCAAGCCGAATCAATTGTTTAACTTAGGATACAGTTAACAGATACCTCGTCCTACATTTTTTTAAGTAATTAAGATGATATCGACATTTTAGATTACTGTATATGCAACATCTATCAATCAGACTATCCATCTATCAATCAGACTATCCATCTATCAATCTGACTATTCATCTATCAATCAGACCATTCATCTATCAATCAGACTATTCATCTATCAATCAGACTATTCATCTATCAATCAGACTATTCATCTATCAATCAGACTATTCATCTATCAATCAGACTATTCATCCATCAATCAGACCATCCATCTATCAATCAGACTATCCATCTATCAATCAGACTATCCATCTATCAATCAGACCATCCATCTATCAATCAGACTATTCATCTATCAATCAGACTATTCATCTATCAATCAGACCATCCATCTATCAATCAGACTATCCATCTACCAATCAGACTATCCATCCATCCAGTCAATCAATCAATCAATAAGACTATCAATCTATCAATTAATCAGACTATCAATCTATAGATCAGACTGTCAGACTATCAGACTATCTATCAATCAAAGAAAGAAAGAACAGACTTATTAATTACTAATCCAATCCAATTAATATCAATCAACGCACTGATCAATGCTTCAGTTGATAAAATTTTTAATTTATCAATAATTAATATTTAATTAAGTAAATCAACAAAAAAAAATCAATCCATCAACGAACCAACAAAAAATCGTTAATAAATCAATCAAACAAATAACACATGTATCAAGCAGTCGACCAAAACAGGAAAAAACAACCTATCTACGAATTAAGAAATCAACCAACTAAAAGAGACATTAATCAACCAATTCAAAAACAAGAAAGAATTCAATCAATCAATAAATCCATTAGAACCTTATTTTTACCCTTATATTCTCTTGAGCCATCGGCGGGGGCCCTGATCCATCCATTTGGTTTAAAAGCTAAAAAAAAAAGGTTTTAAACCAACAAATTTATATTCTTTTATAGGAATGTATTTGGTGATGATACAGAGCTGAAAACTTTAGAATTGTTGATACCTGAGATCAATACTTGATCTTTTATTTTTGTAAATCTTAAGATTATTTTAATCTTTTGTGCATGCAGAGTCCCGAACAGCCATTTAGTAGCCGGGAAAATTGAAATTTTGCGCCCCATTTAATTAGAGAACTATCATTTGTAGGAATCCGTCAAGAATATTCAAAAAGAGGGAAAAAGATTGGATTATGCAGAAATTTTAAAGTGTCAACATTCGACAGTAGATATTTATTACTTAAGCGATCGGTATTTTTTCTAAAGTTTTCAGCATTCTCAGAGTTTTTTTAACTTTAAGATAAAAATGAACCTGTGTTATAATAGCATCAAGTCCTCCGGTACCCCAGGCATAGTCCCCGGGATGTCCGTGAATTTGCACACCACCTGCTCCCTAGTCGAAAGAATCTTTTTTATTAAAAATCCGCTTAAATTTTAAAAGAAAATCTTCAAAATTATTTAGATCACAGATTTACAAAATTTGAAAAAAAATTCATGCAAAGCATGTTACATTTTTAACATACTAACTATATATATATTGTGTGTGTGTGTATATATATATATATATATATATATATATATATCACATGACCGATTTATTAGATATATTTGAATTGACAGTTGTGTCTAGTGGTAAAGTTAAGATTAGGCTCTTTAAGTTCCTCTAATATATATATAAATAATAAATATTGTATAACCTGATGTCCAGGAACCAAATGGAACTGTACACCAGGAACGCCTCCTCCCCCTGCCACACCCATTCCCGTCACGTTAAATATTAGTTCCTTAACAAAAGTGTGGTTATGAAATTTCCAACTAATAAATGATCCAGAAGTCAAAGTGTTTAAAAGGTAACGCAAATTTATAATTCTTCATACCAAAATTCCCTTCCCCCTAAAGCTACGGCTGGGTGGGGGGCTTACAAAACATTAAAGGATGAATTTCAACCTGCAGAAAGTGTTCAAGATGACCGTCCTGTTGATGACCCCCCCTGAGCATGGGTCGCATAGGTCCTTGGCGGTGTACATGATATCTTCCAGGTCTTCCCATATCCATTCCCATATGCAACATACCAGGTGGGAGGAAATTAGCTAGCTGACCTAAATTTTAAAAAAATATATATTTAACTTGAAATTTGAAGCTAATAAACGAGAGTACAATCAAGAACAAAATTTTGAAAATACGCTGTTAAAAATAAGACAAGCGAAATTTTTTTATGTTCATGTTTAAAAATGTACGAATACTTCATTTTATTTTTTATACAGGGTGTCCCACATCACATTGGATATTTTATAGCTCTTAATTGCGATTTTCGGGACTAATCAGTATTACATTCGTATTTTGGGTTAAACCCTGGAGATAATCAAATATGATATGCATCGACGCTCTGTTCATCCCGGAAAAGGCCCAGAATTTCTCTTGTAATTTTGAGCTAAGGGTTCTCAACCCTCGTACATAAAGACTTTTATCTGAGATTGTCCTGCATCCAGATCTAGAAATCCAAAGTCAGTGAACCAAAAACCAGATGTTAAATGTTAACCTGGGAAATCAATTTGGTCCATCGGATCTGGTTCATGCAGAGGAGCTCCAGGTTCAGATAAATCAGAGTTCCTCAGTTCTTCTAAATATGTGCATTGTGAAGATTATTTTAATTTTAAACGGATTCACAAATATTAGATTCAAGTGACGAGCCGCAAAATATCATCCAAAAACAGAGAACAAAATTATTTAACACAAATTATAAGTGACAGTTACAAAGATATCAAATAAATTTTCAGACATTGATTGGTGAATCAAATTTCTTATTTAAAAAGTTGCAAAAACTTAAGAAATATTTATGCGAAGGATGTTTAAAATTTTGATCGCCAGTTGATAAGAGAACTCTCATTGGTCGGAATCCAGTAGAGATATTCAAGAAGGGGGAAAAAGAGCGGATTTAGCTAATATTCAGATTAAGTGATCGTTATTATTTAAAGGTATCCAATTTTAAAGTTTTCAGCTCTGAATATACAAATAATGTTTGTGGAAATTTACCAATGAATCCTGAATTACAGACTGGACAACAGAAGTCCTCTGACACATGAGGAATCTCAACGTTGCATTGATGACAGAAATATCGTCCTCCCCCACCAGAATCCGCCATTCTGACTCTAGATATAACCTCTCTTTTCAAACTTTTATTGATCAGAAATATATCAAAATTTAAAAAATGTTGCATATAAAAACATTTCGTCACTTAAATGTCCATGACTGTTTTTTATATTTTACTCAATCCTGTCCTGGCCGCAGCGTTCAGTCCCCAGACTGTCCTAGCCGCAGCACTCCACCCAAAAACTGCTATAGCCCAACCTAACCCGGAAGCATAAAGAATATTTATTTCTCAAGTCATCTTGAAATAAGATAGAATGGAAGTCTTGAATATCATGCCAAATTCATGCCCAATTCATGCCCAATTCATGCCCAATTCATGCCAAATTCATGCCCAATTCATGCCAAATTCATGCCCAATTCATGCCAAATTCATGCCAAATTCATGCCCGGGGTCCAAAAATCGTATACTAGGAAATTACCAAAAATCGTTCTCTAGAACGGACCCAAAAGTATCTATATAGATAAACCATACGGTCAAAGAAATCATTATTTATAATTAAGTCTTTCATTTATAATTGTTCAATGTTTCAATTTAGTTGTTTTGAAAGTGCCGAAACTAGAATAATAATTATTGCAACATTGTATATCAATTCTGCATCATACAATTAGTCGCAATTTCGCCATTTTGAATCACATTTTCTGTTTTACCAGAAATTTACCTCTATATTCACCTTAAAGGTAATATCCTGGAGAACACTAAGATGTATAAAGCTGGGTAACATAAGTAAAAAATAAAGTTGCCGAGTTCGAATAGCGGGTAATTTCCTAGAAAACGATTTTTGGACCCTCCCCCCCCCTCCCATCAATTTTGTACATTGATCTTAAATGAAAGACACGTGGCCGCAGCGCTCGGCACCCTAGCCTGTCCTAGCCGCAGCGCTCGGCCCAGAAAGTGTCATAACCTAACTTAAAATTAAAGGTCATGTACAAAATTCATGGGAGGGGGGGGGGGTCCAAAAATAGTTCTCTAGGACAGACCCGAATAGCGATATAACGTTCATTGCAGAGAGCATGCAACATTTAAATTGGAACTTTTAGAAGAGGGCGTCTAAAATGTTAAGGGGTGAATCGGCCTCCCTTCTAAGATTACAGGGGGTGCGAGTACTCCATCCCACTAAAAGTACAGCTCTGTAAAATCAGTTTCCTGAGCTGGGAACTTTTGATTTCTGGATATCAGGATAAATGCATGATCCACGCTTTTTCTTCATCTCGAGATTAAATAATGCTTGTTCTCCTATTGTTATTAATCTCCAGATTAATTAACTGATCGGGATTAAGGATATCCCATTCAAAAGTTTTCAGCTCTGGTTAAATTAGCACAGACCGTCTGTGTTCCAAGGAAGGAATGGTTTATTTTTGTACGAATGCCGCGAATGATTTAAAGGATGAATGAAAGAAGTGAGAAATTTTTATTTAAAGACGACATTTTAAAATATTGGTCGTTTGAACTACTGACATGATGTCATATTAGATAAGATAAGATAAGATAAAGTTTATTGCTAAAATAAATGTATCTGTATACAGATAGAGTTTACAATTACAAATTGATGATTTTATTAACAGTACAAGTATAAAGCAATTAGGTGGAAAATAGCTCTTGGCTCTTTTGATTATTTTTTCCACCATGGACTTTTCNGAAGTCCCACGAAATCCATAGTGTTCAAGCTTGCTCAGTAGAATGTCAACATCACAGGTATCAAAAGCTTTAGTTAAATCTATAAAAATTCCCAGAGTATATTCGGATACAGGTTTATTTAGTGCGTTGTATATTTTATCTAAGAAATGAATTAAGGGTTGAGTAGTGTTGTGCTTTGCTCTGAAGCCATACTGATGTTCATAAAGTAGTTTAAATTTATTCAAATATTTCATAATTTGATTTGCTGCCACTTTTTCTAAAAGTTTTGAAAACGAAGAAAGCAAACTTATAGGCCTATAATTTGTAAAATTATCCGTTTCCCCAGCCTTGAAGATTGGGACGATTTTTGCAGTTTTAAGAGTGGTAGGAATAAACCCAGTTTTGAAAGATAAATCAAATAAATGACAGATAGGACCCATGATAATTGGTATGATAGACTTTAGCAAATTTGTTGAAATTTTGTCTGGTCCAGAACTGTTTTTACTTTTTAGTTTTTTAAGAGCATCATTTATAATATCAGGGGTCATATTTGCAAAAACAAAGTTTTCATCTGTTCCCTGTGGCAAAAAGTCAGAAAATTGTTTTTTAGTGGCAATGTTAGTGCAAATATGATCTAAAATGGTTGCTGATCTAAAATGGTTCAAATAAACAGAATATTTTCTAATTTAAACTATTTTCTTTAAATAATTTTCAGATTGTGTGGCCTGCCAAACTTTAAAATATTTTAATTGAATATATTATTGTTTTCATTTAAACTATAATTTTTTGTTCATTTGAAATATTTTTTGTTTATTTGAACTATTTTTTGTTTATTCGAACTAACGTGCTATATAACAATTTTGTGGAGTGTAAACAGACCCATTTCACTCATTATACAAGATTTACAATTATAAAGCTTTATTTTCTTTGTACTTCAGTATTGCTTCAATGTCGTCGTCCTATATTCTAAATTTTTCTGGTTTTCACTGCAGAGGCGCAACTAGGACTTTTGCTAGGGGGGGGGCAATACCTGTGATACTGATTTTCGCCATTCTTTCTTTCTTTTCATTCTGCAGGGGAAGGGGCGCCCCCCCCCCCTTTCAGGTGCTATGGGAGGGCGAGCGCCCGGCCGCCCCCCCCCCTAGTTGCGCCTCTGTTTCACTGTATATATTTGTGAATGTGAAATAAAACTAACATGTTTAAATAATGATAATGATATACATGGATATGTTTGTATGTATAGTATGCAAGAAGAATGAAAACATAATTTTGAAATACAAAGTTTATTTTATCAATAAAAATGATTTCTTACAATAAAGACAAACAAAACAAATTTACTCAGTTTGGTTTTAGAAATCCATATTCCGCCTCCGCTGTCCAAATTGGGAAAGCCTTGTACCTGAAAAAAGTGAAAACCCAAAAAAATATTTTTTTTAAATATTTTAAAGGAGACATAATTTTGAAATATTATGAATTTGCTTGAGAAATTTCCAAATTTTTTCTATTAAATGCTATTTAAAGTAACCATGAGACGAAATGTTCAAAAAATATCAACACGCAAAAAGTTGTTAATTTAAACTTACAATTTAAATTTTCAAAGACAAAATCTACGGATTACAGCTTTCATAGTATAGGCAGACTAAACCGAAAATAATTTACCAACTATATCTAAATACTTCTCTCAATTCGATCATGTTTTGTTTGTCATGGTACACCCTGCAACACCATGGTCAAGGATGCTGCAATTATCAAGCCATGAGTAAACACAGGTGCAGTTAGTGGTGTTTTTTTTTCAGTTTTATCATGGGAAAATGAGATTTTCAATGCTGACCTCTTGGATTAAATATAATTTTTGAGCTCTGCAATAAGTGTACCTATTGGAGCCAATGTACTCTTTGACCCCTGGAAGTGAAGGAAACCTGGCATGAAAGCTTTCTAAGCCACCATGTTTGCTTAAACAACCAGGAATTAAAAGTCTGGAATAAAAATCCATTAAAAATAGACTCAGCTATAGAAATATTTCATCAATGTTCGAGGCTAGATCTATTTAGAAGTTATGCTATCTTTCTTTGTATCCCAAGTCTGTCCTTTAAAGCTTTAGTGAGTTTTTTCCATATCTAAAGTTTGAAAGGAGTAATAGGCCAAACCTGAAAGGTTTTATATGAAAGCGTAACTAAATGATTCACGACAATTTGTGATGCATTTAGCAACAATTTATTCAAAAAAAACAATACAGTTTAATAAATAAGGTGAGTCATTTCTTATTTACACCAACATTTTTTCTTAATCTAAAATTTTGAGTTTATCAAAGAAACTATCATTGTTGTATTTTCAAGTGACCCCATTCATGCCCAATTCATGCCCAATTCATGCCCCATTCAAGCCCAATTCATGCCCAATTCATGCCCAATTCATGCCAAATTCATGCCCAATTCATGCCCAATTCATGCCAAATTCATGCCCAATTCATGCCAAATTCATGCCCAATTCATGCCCAATTCATGCCCAATTCATGCCTAATTCATGCCCAATTCAAGCCCAATTCATGCCCAATTCATGCCAAATTCATGCCCAATTCATGCCAAATTCATGCCCAATTCATGTCAAATTCATGCCAAATTCATGCCCAATTCATGCCAAATTCATGCCAAATTCATGCCAAATTCATGCCCAATTCATGCCCAATTCATGCCAAAATCATGCCAAATTCATGCCCAATTCAAGCCCAATTCATGCTCAATTCATGCCAAATTCATGCCAAATTCATGCCAAATTCATGCCCCATTCAAGCCCAATTCATGCCCAATTCATGCCCAATTCATGCCAAATTCATGCCAAATTCATGCCCAATTCATGCCAAATTCATGCCAAATTCATGCCAAATTCATGCCAAATTCACAACCTTTATCTGATCAATAATGAGGATCAAAGACATCGTTGTTTTCCAGCATTAAAATTGAAAAGTGTTTAATTTTAACAATTTCCTTCATTGTTTATGTATCATAAATCCGTAAGTCTGCACTGTTATAAAGTGAATAGCATAATTGAACAGTATTCAAAGCTAAAAAACATGGATTTCTTATTCATTTTAGTTCATACAAAATTTTTAAGGGTACAGTTGTGAATCAGACGTTCACTTGAAATTACGTGTTCTGTCCCTTTAAAAGCAAACCTGTAAACATCTAATATCTCCCAGAACAAAAAGTCCACAATAGTCAATTCATTGTTTACAAACCAGATATTTTCACCTAAACATACATGATATGCAGTGAGACTCATAAAAGATTAAAGTAGGAAGACGACTCAATTTACGAATTTACATTTTGGTCCAATGAAACATGAAACACAGCGAATGTGCAAGGTACACGGACCAATTTAACTAAATTTCAAGCCATTTGTTAAATAAAACGTTAAATACACAAAAGATTGCTGAAATGTCTTATCCCAGAGTTTTATGGGCCTTACTTCACACTTGTAGTTATGATTTATTCATATTTACCAAGCTTAATTTCATATTTACCAAGCTTAATTTCATATTTACCAAGCTTACTTTCATATTTACCAAGCTTATTTTCATATTTACCAAGCTTACTTTTATACTTATCAAGCTTCTTTTACTATCTAGTTTCCTATCTAGTTTCCTATCTAGTTTCCTATCTAGTTTCCTATCTAGTTTCCTTTTTAATTTATATTGCATGTCCGATTCACAACGGTATCTTTGCCTGACCAGGATTGAAGGAGATAACCTTAATTTCTAACTGAAAGTTATTTTTTATTTGGAGTTCTCAATAATAGTGACTTGGAATTAATTTTGCAGACTTTGAAGAAAAGTCGGAATTCAACAAATTACAATTATTTAACAGAATCCCAAAGTGGGAAAAATTGGAATACTGTAATACTAAAAAAATAATATTGAAGAAGCTTGTAATTATCTTTTATTAAACCTTTATAAAATTTAAAAATGTTACCTTCTGTCCAGTTCTTTAAAAGTTCGGCAGAAAAATCTGGTCTGAAATTTTTAGAAAATCTTTTAATCGGAATTTTGATTTCATCTAAATTGATGAGTCAAATATACTTGTATATGAAGTATATTTGTGAAGGATTTCCTTTGCAACCCCGCAGGTATAGAAGGAGTTGAATTATTTCTACTATGCTATCAGGGTGCTTTACTACCCCGCAGGTATAAAAGGAGTTGAATTATTTCTACTATGCTATCAGGGTGCTTTACTACCCCGCAGGTATAGAAGGAGTTGAATTATTTCTATTATGCTATCAGGGCGCTTTACTACCCCGCAGGTATAGAAGGAGTTGAATTATTTCTATTATGCTATCAGGGTGCTTTACTACCCCGCAGGTATAGAAGGAGTTGAATTATTTCTACTATGCTATCAGGGTGCTTTACTACCCCGCAGGTATAAAAGGAGTTGAATTATTTCTATTATGCTATCAGGGTGCTTTACTACCCCGCAGGGATAAAAGGAGTTGAATTATTTCTATTATGCTATCAGGGTGCTTTACTACCCCACAGGTATAGAAGGAGTTGAATTATTTCTACTATGCTATCAGGGTGCTTTACTACCCCGCAGGTATAGAAGGAGTTGAATTATTTCTACTATGCTATCAGGGTGCTTTGCGCCAAACTTCTATTTCAACTTTTAATTGTTGCTCAATCTTTCAGCATTTTCGTTTCGAAGGAATTTTTTTTTTGCAGATTTACAATTTTGTTTTCATGGATTTTTCAAAATTTTACAAAAATAATTTTTTTTGTAATTCTGAGTATTCGGGTAAACCTTCAGCCGTGTTGGTGTTTATTTGATACAAAGGATAGACAGACAGACAAGGAAAATGATTTAAACTGCCGGTGTCATGTCCCTTGTCAAGGGGAAGAGGAACTGCTAGCTTTGAAACCAGATTTGAATACATATGTTTTAACCTCCCAGGCAACAACCCCACACAAATTCAGACATAAATATATTGTTTATACCTGTAGCACAGTAAAAAGATTGGCTGAAATGAAAAAATCATTATATTTTTATAAATGAATTTATATTTGTTATCTGCACCTTTCTTATTTCCACGGCTTGATCCAGCATCATATCTACCTATATGTATTTACGTATTGTACATTATATCATGATATAATGTTTTTTGCATCACGTTAATTTAAGTTTAAATAAGTTAACCAAATTTTCATCAAAAGAACAAAGTTTCATCAATATTTACTTTTCTTGAAATTAATAAAAATCTTCATATAAAAAAAGTTTTCTTATCTCGGCATATTATCAGAGTGTAGTTAAGAAGACGATTTTTTTATTGATTTTTGTTTACCTCTGCCTTAGCTTTGACAGTTGACCCATCCAGGCCATATTTTCGACCTTAAAGAGACTACACATTATTTTAAAAGAGACTACACATTATTTTAAAAGAGACTACACATTTTTTTAAAAAGAGACTACACATTATTTTAAAAGAGACTACACATTATTTCAAAAGTTTATTTGGGTCAATTTCGGGGATTTTGTGTAATTTTTCGCGGATTTAGTTTTTTAGTTTTTTCCCAAAACTATTTGTTGGAGATATGTATTCCAAGCTAAGCTCCGTTCAATGAATCGTGTGCTATAGCTATAGGTGTATGCAAGGTTTTGCTTCATACGCCTGTAAATCTTTTAGTTAGGCTTCCACATTGAGATTTGCTTCATCACTTTGTGTACACTTCCAATTATTTAGTTTCTATGGCTGGAAATCTGTTAATATTCCTCAAGAATATATATCACGTGCAGGCCGTGCAGTGATGAGTATGACTTCTCTATTAAGTAACCCAGCTGCATCTACAGTTGAGAACTCTATAAATGTTGAGATTAAAACATCTGAAACGACAGAATATCCTGCTGATACTGAACTAGAGACATCTCTTGAACCTATAAACCATCAGCTAGGAAAGGATCTTAGTAGAAACTGTCTTCTTTGGCACAGGAGGATCTTGCAATGTCGTCATAATTCACTCCATTAATGAAACCATTAATCTTTGAAAAATAACATTACTGTATCTATATTTAGTATCTATATAACCGGATTGTAATAAACTTTGCTGTAGTATTTATAATGTTGATTGAAATTACTAGCCGGGATATAATATTGGCAGCAGGGAAGTAATAGATATTATATCCCTGCGAATAATATTTCATCTTGGCTCGAATGATTTTATCTCGAATAGCTGGGAAAATATTTATTTCACGATGACTTAATAACTTAATAAAAACTTGATTCTGAGTCTGTGGATCATTAAGAACTGGTAAAAATATTTTTTTTAATTTTAAGAAAAATTGGCTTGTCATGCTTACCAAGATGTTTCAGAATAGCTTTACTGTGTGTAATCTTTACATCTTCATCCTGATACAAAAATTTTGTTTTTGAAAAAAATATTTTTAAATGAAATTTTTTTTAACCTGATAGAAGGGTAGGTTGGGGAAATCATATCCCAGGGAAGTTTTGAATTTCAACCATTTTGGTTTTGATGTTAGAATTCGCCTAAAGCAATATTTTGGCAAAACAGTGTTTGGGTATTTTCCCAATTGCAACTTCTTCCCAAGTGGCAATTTTATAATAGTCAATTTCCCAAGCCAAGTGGCAACTTCCCAAAGGTTAGAGGGGCCACATGCTGAAATATGTTAGAGGGCGAGTGCTGTGGCTAGGATGAACTAGCGGGCCTAGCGCTACGGCTAGAACATGCCAGGGGCCAAGCCAGGGTCAAAATTCGACAAAGTGTAAGAAAAATGTTTAACATAAACATTTTAAATTATATTTTTAAATTATGCTAAATTTTGACCTTGAAAGAAAATAAAAAGATACCACCTGAAGGTTTACATCAATAACTGTTCTAATAATTGTTCTAATTGTATGATGTTTACCTGTCATCGTAACAAGCACCCGCATGCTCCAAAATGAGCCTAATTGGTTCACCAATTCCCCTGAATATTTATTATGTAAAATTTATTGATTAAGGGGTTGATTGTATACATATTTTATATTGTACAGGGTGTCCCAAAAAACATGGGAATTCAGTGACGAAAATTAGATATCGTGTTTGTTATGAATTTGCATTGTAATACCTAATTTCAAAAGCCATAATATTATTATGTCTGCTAGGATTTATTTTATGAAAAGGGTAAAAGACTGTAAAGATGTGTTTATAATGTCTCCGCAATATGAACATTGAAGACGGACAAGTTTACTCTGTTTGTATCCTGCAATTTTCTTGTTTTACTAAGTACAACCGTATGCAGTCAAAACATAAACAAACAAAATGTGAACATAGCAGACGAAACTCTTACAGATTACAGCTTTCTCAGTAGGTATCACTATACTAAATCAAAGAATTATTTAAGAAGACGATATCGAATTCGTCACTGGATTCCCATGTTTATTGGGACACCCTGTATATTAATAACGTGTTATTTAAATAACAAACACGTATTCTTCACTTTCTGATAATGGAATGCTGCAGATATTTAGTTTTACTTAAATGATTATATGGAGCTCTTTAAAACTGCATATTCATGGCTATTTATTTATTTTTGAAAATACTGAGATTTACGTAAAATAGTTTAAAACCCACTGAAAAATTGTCAAGACGACATTTAATAAATTCTTTCTATGTATGGCTCATTTATGGTTTAAATGTATATTGAGTCATAACTTAGTTATTGATCCTTTACAATCTCTTGATAAAGGGAATTTTAAATTATAATTTTTTTCACCTCATATCCCAGTAACCAAGAACGACGTTGGTGGCCATTTTGTTTGATGGAATCTTTCATTTTATAAAAGATAGTTTTAAAGGGACAGACCGGCTATGTAGGGTAGTTAAACTGGTATGTAGTGTTGTGGACAAATTCTTTAGGATTCATTTGAGACATATAAAACTTTTTACGATGCATAATTACTGAGTTTGAGTGCATAGTCAACGTTCAAAATCATGAATTTGGGTGGGTACGTTTTCAGAATCGGTTTTTTAAAATTAGTAAATAACGATGACGAAAAATAAAGTAAAAATTATACAGTAATCTAATTAGATGGTTAGGAACATATTTCTCAAAAGAAAGGAATTGAGTCTTTGCCACAAACTCTGATTTTATAATCCCTATATCTTTAGAACCCAATGTCGTAAATCTTTGATATTTCAAACTTATATTATTTGATCTAACAGAATTCATAGTTTGAAATATCTAAGGTCTACGACATTGGAATCCAAAGATATAGGATTTAGAAAAGCAGGGTTTGTGGCAAAGACTCATTTCCTTTGTCAATAAATCAATGCTAGAATCAAATATTTCGTTTTTATCATTATATTGAATTTCTTATTTTCTATGATTTTATTCTTCAAATGTCGTCTTTTCAATAATAATTCCAGAAAATATGCAGATAATTTTTGTGAATAATGAGAAAATAGAAACTAATAATTAAAAAAGATTACTTATTTTCGATGATAAGATTCATTTTTATTTTCTCAACCTGTTCCAAAACAACTAATTAGTTTACTGTAGAATTTTATTTACATTTTCTGTCCTCGTTATTTAATAATAAGAAAAAATCTGAAAACGTATCCACCCAAAAGTACGATTTTGAACGTCGACGTTGAGCTCAAACTCAGGATTTACAGATCTTTAAAAAGTTTTATAAGTCTCAAATGAATCCTAAAGAATTTGTCCATAAAACTGCATACTCAGTTCAACTACCTTACATAGCCGGTCTGTCCCTTTAGTAAATACAAAATATTCATCCAAGGCTCACTATTTATAGAAGAAAACCTAGCAGTAATTTTCATCAAATTAACCGAAAATTGTTTTTTGTTCAATCCATCGAAAACTTCGAGTTCATAAAACTTAAATAGAATCTGAACAACACACCGACAGAGATAAATTTTTAAGAGTAAAAGCTTTGGGGGTATGGGGCTTAAATTTTTTCTTTCCAGCATCTGCTGGGGCCTGAAAACCCCTGATCCAAGGGGGGGGGGATGAGACATAAAAGATTATTTATGTTTAAAAACTATTAGAATTTGCAATTCAAAGCAATTTGTAAAATTTGATATACAATAAATATACAATATACAATATACAATTTACAATATGCAACATGCAGCTTACAATACACATTATACAACATACAATATGCAACATACAGTATGCAATATACAATATACAATAAACAATGTACCGTATACAATTTGCAATATGCAATATATAATATACAATATACAATATACTATATGCAATATACAATATACATATACAATTTATAATATACAATGTACATTATACAATATACAATATACTATATACAATATACTATATACAATATACAATATACAATGTAAAATGGTTATTATATATTTACAAAATACAATAACGCTAGAAGTAGAAATTTGAATTTGATAGATAAATTGATAATGTCCGCAATACTGAAAGAGATAAGAGGATTCTAAGTGCAAATGCATTATATATATTTGTCTTTCCGCAGGTGAAGGAAAAATACCTTAATACTTAGGAAAAAAGGCTTGAAAAAAAATAAAGTTTTTACATGGGTTATAAAACTTAGGATAAAGAAATTAATTTTAGATATTTTTTGAAATATTTGTTCATATCTCATCACTAATACTAATTAAGCAAATTCTTGTTTAAAACACCCGATCGAGAAATTCATTCGTTACAGTGATAACCAGAAAACTCTGAAATAGGAAGACGAATTTTATTATAATACAGTTTTACACAGCAATTGTGCAGTGTAAACAGACCCATTTCCCTAAATTTTTTTTTTTTTAGTGTCAAACTATTTGCTTCTTAAAAGCATCAAATGCACAATTGAGTATGGCATTACTGTCGTCTTCATATTCCAACGTTTTCTGGTTATTACTGTATATTTTTAGAATTTTTATATGTTAAAATTTAAAGTCAATAAGATTTTTGATTTTGTTTACAAGTCAAGGCAATTGCTTTTACTTCAGTTTATATGTAATTCAAAATTAAACTCGAATCAATTCCAGTGGTTGTTATATACGACCTAATTTAATGTACACAGGGGGCGGAAACGTCATGTACGTGTGTCTGTACCAAAAGAGTGTAGCCCGGTTTCTTTGTCCGGTTCTAGCTATGATTTAGCTGCGACTTCCTAGCTTAGCTATGATTTTGTATTCGTTAGTCCAAAATCAGAGCAAGATCGAAGCTTAGGTTAGATCTGAAGTCGGAGCTAAATATCAGCTGAACATCAGCTGATGGAAATCACACCTGAGGTTGGATTTAGCTTCGACTTCACAGCTAAATCACAGCAAATGGGAACATTTTTTGCTGTCAGATAGGAAGGCCAGCTGTCATCAAATCATAGTCAGAGCAGCTTAGATTGGATTTATAAAACAAATTACTTGTACTTTGACTAGATCTGAAATCATACTAAATCCAACCTCAAAATTTTGACTTATGAATGAGCTTTGACTATGATCTGAAATCTAACCTTGTAGCTATGATCTCAAATCATAGTCAGAGTCAAAGCAAGTTACAGCTCGACAAAGAAACCGGGCTTGTGTGTCCAAGTAATACAGTAAGTATACAGTACATAAGAATCTCGGTATTGTACAGTCTAGGAGAGTACATTTGTTTATTGTTAATTGTTTACTTAAAAATAAGTTTAATATATATGTAATATATTATTTATACATTTAAGTCAAACCTATAAGCCAAATTTCATGCAAAGAATATAATTTGATTAAAGTTTAAAATAAACTACTCGTTATACAAGCTCAATTATAATTGACGACATTGTTCTGCAATTTCCTTGACTGTAGTCATGGTGTGTGTCTGTACCAAAAGAGTGTGCGTTTGTAATAACGAATCCATCTGCAAAGCAGTGCGACTGGCTTTCTCATGCCAGACCAGCGCCATTTCCCTTCCTTTTATTCTTATTCCCTGCATGTAACCCTCTAATCAAAGTGTGGCATGTCTGATTCACAACAATACCATAATCCTTTTTCTGTGCAAGACTGACAAAGATATTGCCATTTTATGTTTAAACATTGATAATTTTCAATTGCGATAATTACATGTAAGGATTACTTGAAAATAAGTTGACTCGTTTAAAATGTCGTCTTCAGATTGTTTCTTTTTTATAGTTATAAATTCACCCAACTAGTTGTGATATACACAGCAATCATTTTTCATACTTTTCTTGTTTTCTAGGATGTCCCCATAAAAATGGTAATTGAGTGACGATTTGACAGTTGAGTGACGACTTTGACAGTTGAGAGATGACTTTGACAGTTGAGAGAGACTTTGACAGTTGAGAGATGACTTTGACAGTTGAGAGATGACTTTGACAGTTGAGAGATGACTTTGACAGTTGAGTGACGACTTTGACAGTTGAGAGACGACTTGAAGATCACGTCCTATTCGAATTGTTTTCAGTGTATATGTTACGTGATTTTAAAATGTGGCCGACCTTATTTTTACTTCCGAAATCAACAGAGAGATAATAGATTTTTGTCAAGATTTTAAGAAACTAAAAAAATCAAAATACACTTTAAAAATCATTTTAATTATACAGTACTGGCAAGGTAGTAAAACGTTTAAACTTCGATACATTCTAGGTGATTAATGAACAATTTTTAAAGCTGTTTAAATCTTAATTCCCTTGTTTTTTGGTCGTCCTGTGAGTAAACATGATTATATATCATATCCTGAAACCAAATTTAATGAATTTGAGCTACGTTGCTGAACTCTACAACTGCCGGTTCTAATATAAACCACGGATTCAAAGTCAAAGATTAAGTAAAGATTTGAATTGGTGACTCAAATTTGAACCGGTGGGGATAGGCAGTTCAAAATCATTAAATTCGGTCTCTGGAAAAAAAAAAACTAATACATATTTTGTTCTAAGTAGTATCTACTGTCTCGGCTCGTTGATTAATCATGTTTTCATGTAACAAGGTACACCACAAGGTATCATCTACTGTCTCAGCTCGTTGATTAATCATGTTTTCATGTAACAAGGTACACCACAAGGTATCATCTACTGTCTCAGCTCGTTCATTAATCATGTTTTCATGTAACAAGGTACACCACAAGGTATCATCAACCGTCTCAGCTCGTTGATTAATCATGTTTTCATATAACAAGGTATACCACAAGGTATCATCTACTGTCTCAGCTCGTTGATTAATCATTTCACCACAAAGTATCATCAACCGTCTCAGCTCGTTGATTAATCATGTTTTCATATAACAAGGTATACCACAAGGTATCATCTACTGTCTCAGCTCGTTGATTAATCATTTCACCACAAAGTATCATCAACCGTCTCAGCTCGTTGATTAATCATGTTTTCATATAACAAGTTTCACCACAAAGGATGAGACTTCAGAGACGACTTTAAACATTTATTAAGTCCTTTCTTATTCAGTAACTTCCAGTTAGCTTTAGCAATGGACACTCAAAATTCTCATAAACGTCGTTGATGAGAGGTGGGGAAGGATTTTCTCCGCTTTCATCTGACAAGCGGAGAAAATACTTCCATCCTCTGACCAACAATGTTGTCACTTCATGGCTTCCGCCAATCTGCAGTTACGTCATATGAGGATTTTGAATGCCATTGCTATGAAGGCGACATTTTCCGTACATTGCGGCGCATCCAGAGTATTAAACCTTAATAAACAAAAACAACCTTGCTTCCAACTGTGCTAGCTAGACTTAATCTCACCATTAGTATATATATATTTGCATTATTTGATCTTCACTCTATACCATTAACAAATAAAAATGAAACTTTAAAATTATCCTCTATATGGCTGTATTTATTCATACCAGTAAACAATGAAATTGAGAAAACATTGAGGAAAGATTTCAAAAATGTTGAAATTCTCATTTTGATTGTAGCGTTAAAATGCATGGGTTTGCTTTATACATATCAGCAAATTTCTGCAGGGTGTTTCAGAATAAATGTGAATACCAAGAGTGTGCAATGAAAAGTTGACAGAGGTTGCATACATTTTGAGACACCCTGCACCATACATTTTTGACACACCTGGATTAAGGAAGTTGAAATAATCTCAAGCGAAATAAAAACATTTTTGACATGATGCTGGGAGGGGGGGGGGGGATGTGAATTAGTATGTATCTGTGTAGCACCATGGTTTAATAAATAAATACTGTATTCTCTTGCAGATTGGGAAGGGGGGGGGGTTAGGGGTCAATGCCCCCGTGTAACCATATCTTAAAAGAATGGATGAGTAATCGTTTGAATGAAATTATGAATATGAGAATGGAACAAAACTAAAAAAGTGTGTTGGGTCTCAAAATGTCAAAAAAGTTTAAATTCACCAAATGTGCAGAATATACATAAATTCCAGTAACAACAGATATAGCTTTATATTAATTAATTAATCATGTAATTAATCGACTGAATAATCAATTATAGATTCTATGAGGTACTTTGCAAACCTTTATATAACAAGCATATACATTGTATAAATACACCATTCTCCCCCCCCCCCGCTCCAATTCAAGGGGCTGGGTTTCACATTGAAAAATAAAGTCTTACAAATATAAAATTGACTTCAGTCTCTTTTTTGAAAGGAATCACATTTTTCCAATTCCTAAATAGATCCTGCTCTAATAAAGCTTAGCGACATGTTTATGCTTGTTGCTTGAAATATAACGTCAGCTTTAAAGGCACAAAGAGAGCAGTCTATATACTATTTATATATCATAATGAATATATAAATATACCTAGTCCTTGTAATATTTACCAGGATTCAACTTTAAGTTGAAATCCTGGTTTCATTAAATTTTAATTCTTCAATCACACTAAGATTAGTTTTTTATAACAAATATTCATCTGGCAGGCAGTTTGGGTATACGTGTGCTTCAGGGGTCACTCTATAGTTGAGCCATGCAGTTGGATTCAGGCAGTTTAGGCAGCTAGCCAGGTCATTGTTCAGACTGCCTCTTTGAATCCTAATTTTTCTTTCATAATTTTCGAGATTGAAAAAGAGAGAGATGGATATCTCCGGGTCAGAAGCTTTACTCCGGGTGGGGGTGTAAGCTGGGAGATGAACTTTTCTCCAAATAGGAGTGTAAGCAGAGGTTATCTCTGCTCCGAGTTTGAATGAGAGTAGGAACTATGTGAAATATCTGTAAATGACTAAACTATGTAAAAATAGTTTTATTAAGTACTGAATCTGCTGTACAGTGTACGGTCACATTTGCTGTACGGTATATCACTGTAGGGTACGGGGTTGTGCAGGTACAGCACACATCCCTGTAGGGTACGTTTTGAAGAACCGTATGGGTACAGCAGAGCGCTGTGCAGTGCACAGTGTAGGTATAAATCTGGCAGTGAATGCAAGTACAGCTATCAGCACCAAGAAAACAGTTTTTCTGAAAAAAATAGGAATAATTATTAAATAATACATACAAAAACATTGTAAATAAAGGATACAATATTTTTTCAGGCCATGGAGGAATTATTTTTGAAGATAAAGGGGGGGGGAGTTATTAAGATTTTAGATTTTAAATTCACGGTAAACTGAAGTTAACTCGACGTATGATTGAAATCTTATATGTTTTCAATCACTTTATTAAAGAATAATAATGTTTTGCACTTCTAATATCTAACCGGGGCAAATTTTATTTTCTCATCATTGTACATAAAATGTACTCCAATGTACTCTAATGTACTCAAAGCTAGACGAGCTCTGAGGTCACAAAGTCGGACTATTAATCTCCTTCTGTCTAGTTCCCAGTGAACTGTGCTAATTATTTTTGCATACCTAGTACTGTTGTTGTTGTAACTGTTGTTGCTGCTGGTGCAGTTGTTGCTGCTGCTGCTGAAGTAGCTGTTGTGGTTGATGTTGTGGTGGTGGATGTTGGTAAAGTTCAGCATGAAGGGGAGGAAAGACAAGTTTGTATCTACTGGTTCTCTTCAGATGTCCCAGAACTAGATGATGGGCCTCGCCAAGCTCTCTGAAATATTTTTTTACAATTATTTGAATTTTTTAATACAATTTAAAAAAATAGATTGTATAAGACATGATTAGGGATTGTTGTAAATGTGTGAAATATTTAAACAGGTTTTAGAAGAAAGAGAAACCAAAAGAAAGTACATTTTAGGAAAAATGTAGAAAAATACATTTGATCAATAGATATAAAACAGCTGGACAGCTAGACAGCTAGATAGCTACAAGAAAACAAAACAGCTAGATAGCTTGACTAAACAGACACACAGATAGACAGCCAAACAGATAAACAGATAGACAGCTAGCTACACATTTCGGCTTGACAAAGCAAGAGCTTGACAGCTGAACAGCAAGACATCTGGGCAACCAAACAGCTAGACATTTAGCCACCGCTGGACAGCCTAAAAGATAGAAAACTAGTAGGCTAAATTAATAAACAGCTATACAGCCCTAGAAAATTAGACATCTAGGCAGCTCTAGAAACTAGACAGCTATGCAGTCATAGAAACTAGACAGTTAGGCTGCTCTAGAAACTAGACAGTTAGACAGCCCCATAAACTACACAGCAAGACATATCTAGAAACTAGACAGCTAGACATCTCTAGAAGCTAGACAGCTAAACAGCTCTAGAAACTATAATGACAGCTAAACAGCTCTATAAACTACACAGCAAGACATATCTAGAAACTAGACAGTTAGACATCTCTAGAAGCTAGACAGCTAAACAGCTCTAGAAACTAGACGGCTAAACAGCTCTAGAAACTAAACAGCTAGACAGCTCTATAAACTATGACAGCTAAACAGCTCTAGAAACTACACACTACACAGTTAGACAGCTCTAGAAACTAGACAGTTCTAGAAAACTATAGACAGTTAGAATATACCTCAATTTTTGTCTCTTATTAACCAACTGATGAAGAAGATTGGATTCTCCTGTAATAATGTTAAGGGATGTATTCTGTAGCTCGAACTCCAGGGCTTCAAGGATAGTATGGGAGACAGTATCAACATCTCCTCGTTCCACTACTCCAGCTCGATCTAGGAGAATATATATTTACTTGTCTCTTTGTTCGTATATATATGTACTAGCCTTAGAGGGCGCTTCGCGTCCATCTTCTAAATTAATTGTGAACATGTTCTCTTTGTGTACATCGTAAAACAAAACAAAAATAATTCGCGGATTTTCACAAAAAATTTCGTGGATTTTCAAAATTTTAAAAAATTTAATGGAAATCGAATTTTGATGGAGACAAATAATTGAAATTTTGATCATTTATAAACCTTCCCTGGGGTCCCTAGATGTCCCACAAAAATTTTGGGCCCGATCGGTTCAGCCGTTTTGACGTTTATTGGATACAAACAAACAGACAGACAAACAAATAAACAGACAGACAAGCCAAATTTATATATGTACACTAGGCTTTTAGGGCGCTTCGCGCCCATCTTCTATTTAAATTGTGAACATGTTCTTTTTGTTTACATTTTTACAAAATTAAAAACCTTTAAAACACATTTTTAAACATTTTTTATCATTCATAAACCTTCCCTGTGGTCACGTGATGTCCCACAAAAAATTTGGGTCCGATCGGTTCAGCCGTTTATTGGATACAAACAAACAAACAGACACCCAGACAAACAGACAGACAAGCCAAATTTATATATAGATATTGTTGTAATCTCTGTTTGTATGTTTGTTTGTTTGTGTGTCCGGTCATAATTATGAACCCCTTGACCGGTTTGCCTCCAATTTTGATTGGGAAACTCGGGAGAACCACGGGAATAATCTTGACTTTTAGAGTCTAGGTTGAGTGGATCGATTTAAATAGCAAAAATTCAGTTTCCCGGTAAAATCTACCGGTTGCGGGTAAACGGCGGGAGTAACTATGATAAACCTGGGTTGTCAAAAGGGTTGAACTCACACGACCCCAAGGAAGGTTTATGGATAGATATTTTGAAATTCAGTAATTTGAAAATACGTGAAATACGATTGACTAAGAAAAATGGAAGCTTGAGGAGCAATGTTTAATAAATCAAATTGTTACTAGAAAAGAGGCTTGAAGCCCCTTTGAAATGTATTTATATATATATATTTGTTTGTTTGTTTTTGTACCCAATAAATGTCAACATGGGTGATCTGATTGTGCCAATTTTTTTTGCAGAACCAAAAATGACGCCATAAAAGGTTTATGACCGGTAGAAAAAAATAATTTCAAAGAATCTGCGCAATTTTCTGGTTTTATGATCCACGAAGAGAACATAATAACCTGGTTTTGAGAATATTCTGTCTTCATTAAAAAATTTATAGCAAATAGATATTTTTGTTTTTATTTTTGAACTAGAGTTATCTTTTAACTTTCATTGAAAGTTGTAATTATAGAAAGTTGAAAAGCAGGATTTTAAGAAATAAAAAAAATAAAGCTTTTTTTTTTAAAAAAAAAGGTTCATTCGAAATGATGAGCAAAACAAGAAAATTGTTAAAAAGAGAAATTGAACAATTAAATAGAATTATTGACGATGGTGGAAAATATTTCAGACAAAAATATTTTCCTTGTTTTTCAAATAAAACAAATTATTTCTAGATGTTTTAAGAAGGTAAATGTTAGTTTTAACAAACTGTTTCATTAGTTTTGGAAAATTAAAAGACGAGCCTAGAATTGATTTAAAATGAAAATAAAAATTTACTTTTTTTTCTTTTTCGTTTTTTTCTTTAAAAATAATAAAAACTGACCAGGCTGCAATAGAATAAAGGCCGAGTAGAGAGACAGGGCCATTTCTGACAATTCCATTTCCGCTATACTTCTCACAAATTCAAACACCTAAAAATGAATAAATATGATTTTAAAAGAAAAAAATAAAGCTTTCTTTGTGTGTTCACACTATACGATTTTTAAAAATCATCTAAACCACAAAATAGAATTTTTTTATTGCCTTTTAGTCGCATAACAAAACAAATATGTGAACTTTACCAGACTTTTTAAAGAAAATTCTGCACTGCTAAAATTTTTTTTAATATTATAATTTTATAAATGTATAATGTTTCTGTTTGTTTAATAAAGTATTTGAGAAGAAGCTAAAAAAATTTTCTAATAAAATGTAATTTCTTTAACTTCTGTAATGCAATATATGTAAATCTATTTTTAAATGTGTCTTGTTTGTCTGTTTATTTGTCTTTTTATTTGTCTTGTTTGTCTGTTTATTTGTCTTGTTTGTCTGTTTATTTGTCTTGTTTGTCTGTTTATTTGTCTTGTTTGTCTAATTATTTGTCTTGTTTGTTTGTTTATTTGTCTTGTTTGTCTGTTTATTTGTCTTGTTTGTCTGTTTATTTTTCTTGTTTGTCTGTTTATTTGTCTTGTTTGTCTGTTTATTTGTCTTGTTTGTCTGTTTATTTGTCTTATTTGTTTGTTTATTTGTCTTGTTTGTCTATTTATTTGTCTTGTTTGTCAGTTGTAAACATATTATTTGAAACCCTAGCTGACTTTTCGATTGATTAAACTTTTTTCGGTTCTACCTGACTGACAAACTTCATCTCCATTGAGTTGCCTGTATTCATGAACGCCTCCATGGGCAGTACAGTGTCGAAGAACAAGACGACCTTCCTCTCCACACTATAGTATCGAACCATTCGTAGTATTGCAACTTCAAATGCCCCTAAAAAAATAACAAAATTGTTTGGATTCTTTATTGAAAAGCATTTTTTTCTGAATTATAGAAAAATGAATTGTAAATCAAACCAAAAATGTGCAAATGATAAAACTTGAATGCCGACCTAAATGGTATCGAATTTAACAAAAATCAAATGTTTGTGGTGAACCCTGTATGTTCTAAGTATTATGAAGGATGGATACAATAACGGTAAATTGTTAATTTAAATTGATGCACACGTGTCTAACTAAAGGAAGTTTTATTTTTGCATTTTTTAAAACTTTTATTTTTCATTAAATCATTTGATAGAAATATTTTTAAAATCCTGATTAACAACTGTCTTGGGTGTAAAATCAAATCGAGAGAAGTTACGATGTCGCAAAATCGTTGTACCTGTCTTGACAAGAGCAATCTGATCCTCCTGCTCCAACCTCTGGAACCCGGGCAACATCTTTCCGAACTCAATAATCTGCTGGATCAGGTTCGTCAGCCGCTGGGCACACAACATCCACAACTCCTCCCGGCTCTAGATAGATAGATAGATGGACAGATAGATAGATAGATAGATAGATAGATAGATAGGTTCATAGATAGATAGATAGGTTCATAGATAGATAGATAGTAGATAGATAGATAGATAAATAGATAGATAGATAGACATATAGAGATATAAATAGATAGATATATAGATATTTACATAGATAGATAGATAGATAGATAGATAAATAAATAGATAGATAGACATATAGAGATATAAATAGATAGATATATAGATATTTACATAGATAGATGGATAGATAGATAGATAGATAGATAGATAGATATGTACAGGGTTACCCACAAAGGATGAGACTTCAGAGACGACTGTATAAAATTTGTATATTCGGTTTTCTTGCAATCAGGGCTTATTGTAGGTCAAAACTGGCTTATTTCTGTGCTTAATCATTTAGTAAACCATGAAAATATTAAATAGAAGTCAGAAACCAAAACTCAAGCTTCAAATCGTCATATTTTTAGAGTTTTGGGTCGTCTTTACAGTATCATCCTTTATTAAAGAATAGTTTAATAACAGAAAAACGATCTTTTTAAAAACGATTTCTAAAAAATGGAGAATATTCTAGTTTTTCTATCTAACCATTGATAATTTTCGGTTTCTCTTCAAACGTCTATATAATAAATTAACAGAAATCTGATTTAGAAAATAAAAATGACGATATCTCCCTTATTGCTAACACGTTTATCACAGGTGTTGCTTTTGGAATTGAAGATCATTTGTATTTACGCAAAAAGTCCCTGAAAGGAATTGAGTTTTTGCCACAAACTCTGATTTTCTAATTTCAATTTTGTTGCAACCCACTGTCATAGACCTTTAATGTTTCAAATAATGTATGCTTGAAATATCAAAGGTTTACATCATAAGGTTGCAAAGATATAGGTTTTACAAAAACTGAATTTGTGGCAAAGACTCAATTCTTTTACCTTGGTTTTAAACTGCTGCAGAATCTCTGTGTTTACGGGTTGGTTGAGTAACTCCTGTATTTGATGTGTGCTAAGCAGGCAGGTCAGCTGGTGTGCGTTCAAAATACATTCAGACAGGAAGTATCGGAACTGGTCGGGGTCTAAATAGATATTTAGATAGGTTATTTGTCTGTTAGGGGTCTATATAGATATGTAGATAGGTTATTTGTCTGTTAGGGGTCTATATAGATATTTAGATAGGTTATTTGTTTGTTAGGGGTCTATATAGATATTTAGATAGGTTAAGTGTCTGGTCGTGGTATAAACAGATATTTAGATAGGTTAATTGTATGTTCGGGGTCTATAAATATAATTTTTGAATGTAATTTTGTAAATTTTGTAAATTTTACAAGTTTGTATGCTGACCGTGTTTAAGGTGTTCAAGTTGTTTATCTAGCTCTGTATGTTGAAGAGGTGCTGCTACTGTAGTAGAGTCAACATAGCCACCAGGATCTACTCCTTCCACTCCATCCACTCCTTCAACACCTTCCACTCCTTCCACTCCTTCCACTCCTAGAGATCCAGTACACTCCTGCTTTATAGTTATACGTTCTACTCCTAGAGGAGTAGGAGTACTTGGTCCTCCAGAACCTAACCCTCCACCTCCAGTGTTTAATCCACTACCTAGATCTGAACCACCGCCAAGACCTGGAGGAGAACCCAACCTTGATCCAGACGGAATTTTTAAACCTGAAACAAAACCATTAAAAATAGAAAGAGAATTTTTAAAGATATTCTTCTTTACATAAAAATTTCCACTGTTAACACTCTTAATCTCACCTACAATCAAGGTTTTACTCTGGATGCGCTCCAATGTGCTCCAATGTTCTCCAATGCGCACCAATGTGCTCCAATGCACGGAAAATCTCGTCTCCTTGGTAAAGATAGATAGAATCCGCATATGACGTCACTCTCTCCTCTATAATCAGTGACGTCATATGCGGATTTGATCTATCTATGCTAAGGAGATGACATTTTCCGTTCATTGGAGCACATCGAAAGTAATCAACCTTAATATACAAACTTGCCTACAATACATAGATCAATATTATCACCTGTATGCATCGTTAAATCTGAATCGTTAAAGTTTGTTGTTGAATCAACGAACTCGTCAAAACTGTTGGTCTGGAAGCTGGTCTGTTGTTGTTGCTGTTGCTGCTGTTGTTGTTGTTGCTGCTGCTGCTGTTGGTGGGTGTAGTGGGGGCTGTAGTTAAAGTCGGTGTACTGGAACCTGAGCAAGGGATATCATTAATTTAAAAGTAAAAATTCAAATATCTGAATGATTTGTTGGGAATTAAATAGATTTTTTACGATCCGAGTTGAATGTTGCATCTTTCCAAATTTGAATAAACACTACGTTCTTCAGTGTGAGTCGTTTTTAACAATTTTTTCCTTATAGACGCAACAGATAGAAGTAAAATTAGTAGCGATCAAAAGCGCTTTTTTATCGCATTAAGTCTATACCCCCTTTCATTTTTCGCGAACACTCCCTTTAACCTTCACAGACATTTAGTTAATAAAAGAAATAATTATATAGAGCGTTTTAAAACTGTTCCTGCATATTTCATGGCTATTTATTTATTATTTACAATTACAGAGAATTACGTATAACAATAAAAAACATTTAAAAAAATTCAAGACGACATTTTGTGAATTCTTTCGATATGTCCGCAGTTCTGGATTAAACTGAAGTAAAATCACTTACTGAGAACTGGGATAGAGAGGCTCCGTAGAAGATGGAGGTTCAACAAGAGAGGAATCAGGACTGTTTCCTGGAGCTCGCTAAGCAACAAACAAATTAATAATTGAAAAAAGTATTTTAAAAATAGATTTATCAAAAAGAAAAATTATATGAAAGAAGGATTTTAATTGAATTTATGATAAAAATAAACATTTAGAAGAACATTGTTTGGTATAGAAAATGAAGAAAATTGAGAAATAAATCTAATATAAACTACAGGGTTACCCACAAAGGATGAGACTGTAAACACGACTTAAAACTTTAAAGATTTGACGATCCCACGGCAAAGTTAAATCTTCTGACTCGGATAAAGTCATGAAACGACTGAATAAAATATCTGACAAAGAAAGACACAATTTTACAGTGGCGGGGAATTATAACAGATAGTATAAATGTCGTACAGTCGTCTCTGAAGTCTTATTCTTTGATGGAAACCCTGAAAAATGGCGCATAAATGTCGTCTTCCAAGTTTGAAAATATCAATATATATTAACCCTAGAATTTGCACAATTTACACCAGGATTTTTCATGAATTTATGATAAAATTAAATGTTTAGGAGAACATGTTTGGTACGGAAAATGAAGAAAATTACTAAATTACTTCAACTAAAATGGCGCATAAATTTCGTCTTCCAGGTTAGATAATAACAATATATATTTACCCTGGAATTGGCCTGATGGAAGCTTACTTCTTCTTCAACTTTCTCCCTTTGCTTCTTAGACATCCGCCCAAACTTCACGGCTAGATAGATAGATATATATATAAAGAAAGATAGATAGATAGATAGATAGATAGATAGATAGATAGATAGATAGAAGGATATATAGATAGATAGATAGATAGATGGATATATAGATAGATAAATAGATATACAAAAAGTTTTAGCTCTATGTGAAAAACATGCACGAGCCGTCTCCCGTCTCATATTTGAATATCTTTTGTTCTTTTGATGGATCAAAATGCAGTTTTAAGATTAGGATTGCTTAAATAATAATAACATTTAGTTGTATTTAACATTCAAGTATTTGATATAATTTGTATTTATAAATATCTAGGTATGGCGGCCATGTCATTAAAGTTTTGATCTCTGATTTAAAATCCGTCACGTAACAGAAACATTTTAAAAAGATTAAACCAATTTAAAAATCTGCATTTAATGAGTGAAACTGGGTTCTAAACAAGGATTTCTATTTTACATTACCCACCAAAAAATGATATAAAAATCAATTCTATTAAAAATGATGTTCCATTGTTTTGAAAAAATACCACTCTTTGTAACTGAAGTTTTCCCATGGTTTCCCATGAAATGCATTTCTTGATTTATGTATAAATATAAAACTAAACCATTTTTACTTTCTTTCTGCTCTAGGAGGGGAAACAAGGGGAGTCAAAAAGCCAACCCCACCCCATGAAACCTGTATATTTCCCCCCCCCCCCTACTTGGTTTAGTGCGCACCGCGCATTGGCGCGTAACAGCTTGAAACAGCTTGTTGCAGCCCTCTCTAGTGTGACGTAGACACTATTGACCTAATTCTTAAAAATATAGAGTAACCTTACTAGTCATCAACCTATATAATACCTTTCTAAACCTGTTGTACTACCTTTCTAAACCTGTTGTACTACCTTTCTAAACCTGCTGTACTACCTTTCTAAAACTGTATACTACCTTTCTAAACTTGTATAATGCATTTCTAAATTTCTAAATCTGTTATACTACCTTTCTAAACTTGTATAATGCCTTTCTAAACCTATATATTACCTTTCTAAACCTGTATACTACATTTCTAAACCTGTATAATGCCTTTCTAAACTATATACTACCTTTCTAAGCCTATATATTACATTTCTAAACTTATATACTACCTTTCTAAACCTGTATTATACGTTCTAAGCCTAAATAATACCTATCTAAACCTGTATAATACCTTTCTAAACCTATATTCAGCATACTATTTAAACCTGTATTCAGCATACTGTCTAAACCTGTATTCAGCATACTGTCTAAACCTGTATTCAGCATACTGTCTAAACCTGTATCCTATATCTTCAAAACACCTAACGGATCGAAACCTATGACTAGGTAATTATTCTGGAAATTTTGAACCTGGAGTTCCCGCCAATTTCTTCTTCCATTAGTTGCTAGAGGCTATCTTGTAGGTTTTACACGATTAGAAACTATACAAGAGATGGGAGAAGACTGGAAAAAGTGTATTAGGAAAAAACTAGACGATATCTTTTGAATAATATTATGTCTGCAACCATTTTTTTCTTCCTTAATTTAACATTTTCAGATTTGCAGATTTTGGTGGCATTACTTTTTTATCGAAAATTTGTAAAGCAAATTTTCTTCGGCCGATCTTGCCTTGTTTCAACCACTCGTGGAATAAATAAAGAATAAATGTGCACATGTAATCTGTAGTCTGCACACCTAGACTTGCAAAAACTTGGGCCGGGAATATTTGCAAAATTTAAAGTACGACGTGATATATAAACAGGAAACAAGATAAGAGTAGCAGGAAACAAGATAAGAGTAGCAGGAAACAAGATAAGAGTAGCAGGAAACCATGAAAATAAGGAAACAGATAGTATACATTTCTCTACAGTCTCATCCTTCGTGGGTAACCCTGTATATAATACTGCATATAGCTATATACATCTATATATAAATTTGGCTTGTCTGTCTGTTTGTCTGTCTGTCTGTTTGTATCCAATAAACGTCAAAACGGCTGAACCGATCAGGCACAAATTTTTTGTGGGACATCAAGGGACCACAGGGAAGGTTTATGAATGATCAAAATTTCAAATATTTGTCTCCATCAAAATTCTATCTTCATTAAATTTTTGAAAATTTTGAAAATCCACGAAATATTTGTGAAAATCCGCGAATTATTTTTGTTTTGTTTTACGATGTACACAAAGAGAACATGTTCACAATTAATTTAGAAGATTGGCGCGAAGCGCCCTATAAGGCTAGTTATGTTTATACATTTATATATTCTTTTCTTTAATATGAACTTTAATGCCTCAAATTGTCTTCCATGATCCATAAATTTAGAAATAAAAAACACAAGGAAGAATTGAAGATGTTTGCTTCAGACCATCGTTTTTCAACATTCCCCTAGGAAAATCCCCCCCCCTCTTCTCCCTCCCTTCCGAACAAAACAAAAAACAATTTCCTGGAAATATAAAGAAAAGATGAATTTTCTCGGATTCTAAATTCTGAAAATTAAACTCAGTTCTCGTTTTAACTCAATTTATCTCGTGAAACTGGAGTATTGTATATGTCCTTTCGTCATAAGAGAAAAAAATATGCAAATTTCGTCTTCAGCAAAATCTACGAAAAATAAAATATTTCCAAAATATCCTTGGTTTTCTAACTTTCTGTATAACAGTCTTTCATATTCATTTGCCTAGAAACTAGACTTTTTACCTCACTCAAACAATTTCTAATTTAGAAACTTTGAAAAGATTAGAGGTTTGTAAAAAGGTTTGGATTTTAATGAATAGAAATTTTAGGAGCTAAATTACACCCTTTTACAACCCTTTTCCCCGGTTTATATAAAACCCCGCGAATGCTCTATTGTCCATCTTTTCGTTTTGTAGCTCTCTGCACCCTCATCCTTTGAACTTTTCTTATCTGATTTCTGTAAAACTGTAGAGGGAAAACTAAAGATTTTTAAATAATTTCTTAGAATTTAGTTACTTTTGCAATTTGTAATTACTTTCTCCGAAATCCCTGTATCCCTGTATCGATGTATCCTTGTGTCCCTGTATCCCTGTATCCCTGTATCCATGTATCCCTGTATCCCTTTTATCCCTGTATCCTTGTACCCTGTATCGAGGTATCCCTGTATCCTTGTATCCCTGTATCCCTGTATCGATGTATCCCTGTATCCCTGTATCCCTGTATTCCTGTATCCCTGTATCCCTGTATCCCTGTATCCCTGTATCGAGGTATCCCTATATCCTTGTATCCCTGTATCCCTGTATCGATGTATCCCTGTATCCCTGTATCCCTGTATCGAGGTATCACTGTATCCCTGTATCCCTGTATTCCTTTTATCAATGGCATTGTATCCCTGTATCCCTGTATCCCTGTATCGATGTATCCCTGTATCGATGTATCCCTGTACCCCTGTATCCCTATATTGTTGTATCCCTGTATCCCTGTATCCCTGTATCCCTGTATCCCTGTATCCCTGTATCCCTATATCCCTGTATTCCTGTATTCCTGTATCCTTGTATCCCTGTATCCCTGTATCCCTGTATCCAACCTCGCCATGATAAATTACAAACTCATTCCCTCCCTATTCTAAATAATCTTCATTGTATCTTTCTATCAATTTCTTGAAAGTAAAAGAAGGATTTGAAAAATAAAATTAAAGAGAATAATAATCTTCTAAACAATAAAAGAAGGGGAAAAGTAATGACAAAAAGAAACTGAAAATCTATAAGAAAATGAATAGTTTTAATTTCAAACATTTAAAAGTAAAAAAGAATAGAAAGAAAAGATGAATAAATAGGAAAAAAGAAAATTACCGAAATAAAAAATAAAATCTATAAATTATCTAGTTTTAAATCAGCTGAATTCAGAGAATGGAAGGAAGAGATTGCTTTTGATCCNCCCCCCCCCCCTGGGGTAATCTTATCAGAGAACAGTATAATCTTGTAAGAAGTTTAATCTTTATATATGTTCTCAACTAATCTCACAACTTTACTCACAATCAAACATTTATCTTACTTTGGAGCAGTTTGTCGTTTTTATTATTAAAAAATGTTATCATACTTTTTTATAAGATGTCCGGCATACCTAGATACCTCGTTATCTAGACCGGCATACCTAGATATCTAGTTATCAAGGATACCTATCTACCTAGTTATCTAGGCCGGCATACCTAGATATCTAGTTATCTAGGCCGGCATACCTAGATATCTACTTATCTAGGTCGGCATACCTAGATATCTAGTTATCTAAGCCGGCATACCTTGATATCTAGTTATCAAGGATACCTATCTACCTAGTTATCTAGGCCGGCATACCTAGATATCTAGTTATCTAGGCCGGCATACCTAGATATCTAGTTATCTAGACCGGCATACCTAGATATCTAGTTATCTAGGCCGGCATACCTAGATATCTAGTTATCTAGACCGGCATACCTAGATATCTAGTTATCTAGGCCAGCATACCTAGATATCTAGTTATCTAGGCCGGCATACCTAGATATTTAGTTATCTAGTCCGGCATACCTAGATACCTAGTTATATAGTCCGGCATACCTAGATATCTGGTTATCTAGACCGGAATACCTAGATATCTAATTATCTAGGCCGGCATACCTAGATATCTAGTTATCTAGGCTGACATACCTAGATATCTAGTTATCTAGGCCGGCATACCTAGATACCTAGTTATCTAGGCCGGCATGATAAAACTATGAATAGATTAGATATAACATCTTTTATTTCTAAAGGAATTGCAACCTCATATCGCCGACCTTTTATATTTCAAACTATGAATTCTGTTAGATCAAATAATTGTTTGAAATATCAAAGAATTTACACAATGAGGTTTCAAAGATAAAGGGAATTATAGAAATTTTGAGTTTGATGATCTTATATAAACAGTTTTCTTGGGGTGTCCCAAAATGAAAATTTTTTAAATATTATTAATGATTATAATCCATCAATCAGAATCAATTAAGTACTCGATGTTGATCCCAACTCATAAAACATTAAAA